TCTGTCCCCTCCACCCCAGCCACAGCCTCTCTATTCGCTGGGACCTGAGTCCCGTCATCCAGCAGCAAGCGAAGGTCAAAGTTTGAGAGACTGTAAGGACATTTGTCCGTTAGCCGAGGCTTTTTTGAGGGAGGTGGCAAAACTCTGCCAACTTTACTGGCTGAGTGTGTTACAGCTAGATTTACATGTTTTTTGGCAAGTTCAGTTTTCATGTTACTTGTCAGTGCAGACAGGCATTCACTCAGGAGAGAAAAGTAGAGTGAGTGGACCTGAGAGGTCTGACCTGCATGGTGTGAATTAAAGTCAGAAAGCAATCTTCCACATTCAGCAGGGTTGTCTTCACCCAAACCATCTTCATCATCACATCCAAGTGGCTGCAGAGCCAAGAGCAACCCACCACCGTCCAAAAGAAGTTTCTTCAACAGGGATGTGTTGCTGTTTAAGAGAAAGACAGTCCATTAAGTTAAAATACAAACCTCTCTTTCTGCTGTTCGCAAGTTTCATCAACGTAAAGCAGACACTAGTTGATACCTTTGCAACAATTTTCTCTTAACAACAGAAAAAGATTATGTGGGAACAAAAGAAAATGTTTTATCAGGATATGAACTTAATTTAAATTGTCAAATATAAAAAAGGAATTTTAATTTTCAGGTTTGAAAATCTCATGATAACAAAGCACTTCCTCTACTCACCTGCTGATAAATGGCAGAGACAGGGCACAGTTCATCTTGTCCGAATCGGAGCCGGACATCATCACATGTGCAAGAACCCCAGAGCCAAAGCCAGACTCACACTGGACACGCAGATTAGTGAGAAGTGCAACACCTACACAGACATTTAGCAAACAGTTAGAAACTGGTCATGTACAAAATGAAAATATCAAACAAAAGGATAACACCAAAAAAACCCAAACTATACCCAACCCTACCATTCACCTGTTTATTCAAACAGAGTTATTTGTTAATGTCATGAAGGCGATGCTGTGATCGACAACACCACTTGCTGGTCACCTGTTTAGTCATAGTTTATTGATATTCAACATATCATGCATCCAAATTGCACCTAATTTGACACTGCACTTCCTTGGGCCCTTAAAAATACACATGCCAATGACAAATTTTGAATTGCACAGCAGGAACAACTAATTCAATAATGTACTCTAAAATAGTGCTGCATATCAACTCTTCCCTTGTTAAGATATTCATCTTACCTAGTTGTTTAACTTTGGCTTTTACTCGGTCCGTCTGCCTCTCTTCCCCTTCAAACCCTCCCTCTCTCTGACAGAGATAGTGGTATATCAATCCCACTGATCCCGTTCGGACCAACGCCTGCAGACAGTTTGGGTTGCAGCTCAGTCTGCAAAGCATACGGAAGCACCTGCTGCTGGGGTCCTGGTGCTGGGTGAGGTAGCAGAGCAAGCCAGACATGACGCCTGAGCTGATCAGAGCGGCGCTTGGATCTGTGGCGTGGGAGAAGCATGACAGCAGCAGCAGGATGGGCGACTCGGTGGTCCAGGGTTCAGGGTGGTAAGGGTGGTGGTAAGCCATCGGGCGGGGAGTAGAGGGAAGATTGTCAGGAGTGACCTTAGTCGCAGGAGCTGTCGAATGAGCCCGCTGCCTCTTTCTGTGAGGGGATGAGAACTTTGATGGGGCTGAGGTTTGAAGGGATGAAGACGTAGGGATCTGAAGATTGCCCCATTCTCCATCAACACCAGAGGAATCCAACAGCTCACCCTCAGAGGAGATGAGTCCCTCAGACACCAACCAGGATCTGGGGAGAAAGTAAGAGGGAGCACTATAAAGATGTGGATGAACAATAGTGGAAAGTAAAAATAATACAATCACTCACAGGAAAAATACAAAAAGAAAGAAGTGTGTTTCATTTTCTATACCTGAGGCTTTGAAAGCTTGACGAACCAGCTTCCTCCTTCTTGTAGCTCTCAGGAGCAGGAAAGTCAAAAGAGTCAAAGCCTGCTGTGGGCAGTAGCTCAGTGGGAGACATGTTTGACGTTGTGCTCACATCCAACTTCTCAGCACATTGCTCCTCTCCTCTGGTGAGCTGTACTAGTCGTGCTATAAGCAGAGGGACCAGCCCTAACTCTTGCAGCTGCTCCATGGCAGATTCATCAAAAACAAAGTCTACACAAGCGACAATGATGAGCCAGGAAAGAGGATGATTCTGATGGGCGGACAAAAAGCCAGTCAACACCTCCAGTCCACCGCTCTCCTTAACCTTGGCCCGGTTGACCGCCTCCTTGCAGCACAAGCACAGTGCCTTGAGGAAGACTCCTGACTTCAGTGGGTCCTTTTTGACTTCCTCTATGAACTTCTGAATGACACCCAGTGACCCCACCAGAGGACGCAGGCAGCCTTGGGAGCACATGTTGGCCAGAGTTTTCAGTGCCAACTCCTCAAAAGGTTTTCCAGCCTCCCCTGATGTCATGACGCCAAGTTGTGCAAGGACCCCAGAGCGGGACACTTCCCTGGCACATTCAATGCCACAGCCCCGGGTCAGCTCGTGTAGGGTCTTTAGTGCCGCCCGCCTCAGCCCCAGGGGATATTCTGGAGCGATGAGAGGAGCGAGAGCAGATAAGGTCCCTTGGGTGAGCAAAGACAGGCGGTTCGAGGGAGAATCCGAGAGGTAGCCAAGCGCCCGAGCAGCCGACTGAGCACACTCCAGTTTAGGACAGGGTTCTTTTGGTAGAGCAGCAGTGGGGGAGGACGGGGCAGAGGAAAGAGACACACAGAGGAGGAGAAGAGGAACACCACCTATATGAAAAAAAGAATGGTTTATTTTATGACTTTTGGCATTTGAAAAGAAATTTCCAATTTAAATACGTGTGACCTCAGGGTCTCCTTAGACTTAAATCTTATGATGAGAGAATAACATATTTGGATGTATTGCACATATGTTATTTCCATCCACTGAACATTTATGGTAAGTGGCTGTGGGAAATGGAGATGAACACATTTTCAAAATGTCTTGTCGACCAACAGCCCAAGAGCCAAACACATTAATTTTACTAAAATACAAAACAAAGAAAAGAAGCATCTCGATAACGCACATTTTTGAAACAACAATTAAGATAATTGTAGACAATAAATATCGCACACACCTACTGGATGGGTAACCTAACTCTTGAGTATGAGTCTCATCTGTTACTGTCATCACAATTTGTCATACAGTGACAATAATATAAAATGTGATTACCCTGTTTGAATGTCTGTCTACCAATGATAAGCAGAATACCAAGATGGGGATACAATGTGACTGAAATTGTGAACATCTTATCCTTTAATACTTACCAGATGAGTGGATGAGTGCACAGCTCTCTGGATCCATGGCCAAGTTCCCCAAAGATCGGGCCGCTCGGTTCTGGATGGTCTCCTGGGCCACATTTCTCTTCAGGATCCCCACTGACAGAATCAAGAAATATTTTTTTAATCTTCAGATAAATACCATGGCTTTAATGTCTGAAACACTAAAGCCTGACCAATTTTTTGGTTGGCCGATATAAAAAGGGTGATGTGAGCCTTTCACAGACTTAGCATCATTTTAGATATGAAAATATTAATGTTACAGGATAAACATTAAGGAAAAGTTATGCATTTCTGTCTTTTTTTTTAATGATGTTTACGTTATATTTTACGTTGTTCACGTTATATTTTACGTTGTTTACGTTTTAACTTGTTTAAGTTTTGATTGTATTTTGTTTTCTTTTTATTCATAGTTATTTCTAATAACTTTAACAGTTAAAATGTGTAAAATATTCAGATACTTCTCTGTCATAAAGGTTTGATAATTATATTTTAGACATGAGAATGTATAAAATCACTCACCTATGGTATTTATTCCATCAAGTTTACGCACCTAGAATAAAAAGGAAAAAATTGAACGTGAAAATGTTTAATTACTTCTTTAGTCAAAACATCTTTAGAAAGTAATTATTTGTTAGGCTCTACCTCTATACGTGTCTTCAGCTCGGTGCAGCAGTTTGCCAGGATGCTCAGAGCCAGGTCCAGTACTTTCCTGGAGCACTCTGGGTCTTTGAGTAGGTCCAGCAGGGGAGGGAGACCCCCTTGAGTCCTGAATCTGGAGATGCCAGCGTCACCCTTGATGTGCTGCATGCGGATGGTGAGCAGGGCTCTCCACTGAGACGTTTTGGACCTCTTGTCCGTTTCTCTGCCACCACCTGCGTCTGTCTTGCCACTCCCGGGATGGTCTGCCCCTGGTCGAGGTTTGTAGAGGTGAGCCAAGCACCAGGTCAGAGAGGACTCTGGGGTTGATGGTGATGATGCATGACCATCTCTGGAGGCTGCTCGAGACTGTTTCCCTTCACCTTGCACAGATGCTGCAGCCATGATCCCTCTGGAAGTCAGAAAACCGCGTCACTTAGTTTCGTCTAAGGTTATAAACAAAGTGAGGCATCAGTGAAGGCCTCCAGTCAAACATTCAGCGATGACATGTTTACAAAATAACGATTAAAAATACGTAGCAAATTGCGGGTGAAATATGTTGTTATTACTGCCAGTTCATTCTTATTCGAAAAAAAAAAAGTTTAGACCAAAAACACAATCAGCTGTGGTCAGAGAACTACAGATACCAGCATGAAGAATTGAAGTTGTACCACCTGACGCCGCGGACGCTGTCGGGAGATGGAGTTCCAGCTGCTTCGGTCCACTCCCTACAAAACAGGCCTACATGGTGAGGAGGCCGAACAAGCGTTATTCTGCGTGGTGGACGTGTATTTTCTCAGTGTACCATCTTTTTGCACAACACCTGACGAACCAAAGCTCTACTGCGGCAATGTTTTGTCACCACTGGCCGAATAATCTTTGTGAAACAGAATGCAATCGCCTGCGTTAGCCGCTAACGCCATCTTTAGCCAAACAACTAAACAGGGGCGGTTGAGGGAGTGAGCAGGGAGCGAGGAGGTGGGGCGGTAAGAGACGTCATGGGAATTGTAGTTCAAAGCGTCGCTGGTCATTGGCGACAGTAATGTGTTTCCACTCCTAAGGAAAACTACATTCCCAGTGGCAGCGAGCATTGGTGGCCTACGTTGAATAACTCCGGGCGTTAAGGGATTGTAGTTCAATTGGTCGACGCGGTTACAGAGAAGCCTTCGTGTTTCGGTAAAAAACAGACTACACGTACCATGATGCAAAGCGACGTTGTTATTCTCATCGTTTTACTCAACGCGAGGAATTGCATCGGTGCCTCCGAGGGGTTGTTAAACTCCACGATAGATAAATAAACAACTTTAACTGTGATGGTTTCGGTTTTGACAACATGGAGGTGATCGAGACCATCGTCATACAGAGCGCTGCAGTGGAGGGGAAGGAGGCGGTGGTGTCCAGTGTGGATGGAGATAAAACTAAAGCAGGTTCGTATTCATAGCTTGAAGTGAAACAGTGGTGCATGAAGCGAGGAGGGCCCGATGAGTGCGCTGTCGGCGCTCAGTGCGGAGTCATCAACCATGATTCACGACATGAGTCAGAGCTAGAGATTGTCTGATGACATAGAGCTTCACATAGATGTTCCATTCAGACTGCCAGAGAAACGATCAAACTTTAAAGAGACACCTACATGTGTGTTTAACTGTAAACACACAAACGTCATTTTATCATCACATCACAATTTAGTGTTTCACACTGTCCTGGACGCTGCGATGCTGGCGTGCAGTAAACATTTGGGACATCTACATTTTGATATATTTTTTAAAAGTTTACACCTCCAAAAGTGGGCGGCCCCCGCCACCAGCGATCGCTCTGAGTGGGAATCTGGAAAGGTGGGCTCATTTTCAAATCTATGCTGAACCCCTGAACCACCACATTGTCTACTTTCCAGAGATGTCCCCCAGTCTCTCCTGTCCCTCCATGTTCTCAGACATGGCTGCTTCAGTCTCATACATACACTGCTCAGAGAGAAATCTCATCTGAAGTCGAGGACTTCTCGCCTCAAGAGTTTCCTGGCAGCCAAGACCACCGCTGCCTGTGCCTGTGTTTCGAATTTCGAGTACACAATGCTTCTCAGACACGGTTAAGTTTCAAACGGCTGAGGACAACCGTGGTATTCAGAGACATTTAGCCCTTTACTGGTCTTAAAAATATATTTATAATTGACATGATTTACCTTTGTTTTCCTGTGCAGAATTTATTTGGACAATGCAGGCCACATGGCACCTCATCAACACCCGACTGGAAATGGATCAGGATTTTGACCAGCCAGTGTGCAAGAAAAAGAAACTCTGGGAGATGGTGGCAGAAAAGGTGAATGCCAAACTGAGGGAGTCGGAGGTCACGGATGTCACTGTGAAGGCGTACGAGTGTGATCTCAAATGGAGAAACATGCTGGCAACATACAGGAAGAACGCAGAGCGTGCCAAGAGGCTCGGGGAGGCCAGGGTCCACTGGGAGTTCTTCAAAGCCATGCATGAGGTCCTGGGCAAGAGAAGGGAGGAGGTTGAAGCCCAGCGAAGAGCAAATCTCAGCGGCTCTAAAGTAGGACGGGTCATAGCCAGCAAGAAGTTCATCCCTATCCTCCCCACACCTCCTGCAACAGCCACTCCCTGCCCTGCCCGTCCGCCACAGGACGTCCTGCAGCTGTACATGGAGCTGCAGGAGAGGAAGATGAACATGTGGGCCCAGCAAAAAGCCTTGGAGGAGAGAAAGATAGAGGCCATCAACAACCTGGCCCAGGCCATCTCCAACCTGGCTCAGCAGAACAGCACACAGCTGACGAAGGACGGACATTTGGCCTGAAGAAATGAGACGTGGAACTGAACTTCTTACCAAAAACTTTTATGATACTTTTCAGAGAAAACTTTGTATTATATGTTTTTAGAAATTTAACATGTTGGCACATGTGTTCTCTTACAGTTTATACAGTAGAAAGGCGAGTTTGAATTTTATGAAGCTAAACATATTTCAAGGAAAATAGTTTGGGACAGGAGGTCTGGTCATGCGAGCATGTGAGGAACCGAATATCAGACCAAAGGACCATGTTAGTTACAGAAAAGTTTTTATTAGTTAATATTATTATTATTACTTAATTCTGCATTGACAGATCACATTTTATTTTTATATGCAAATGCAAATGAGGTGAAACTCCCTATGAAAAATCCTTTTAAGGGTTGCTGATGGATGGAGCTAATTCCAGGTGACATTGGGCAAGAGTCAGAGTTCACCCAGGTCCACAGGTCGCCGTTCATACTCGCATTCACAGTTTATGAGTCTCCAATCAACCCCTAATCTGCGTCTCTTTAGACTGTAAGGGGAAGCCAGACATGGGGTGAACATGCAAACACCACACAGACAGACAATGGTCATGCCAAGATTCAAACCAAGAAACCTCTTTTTTCTTGAAAAATTTATTTCATATTTGACCCATGATGATAAGCCACAGTAATAACTCACATATTTGTGGCATAAATCATTTTAGTTCAGAAATCAATGAAAAGTATTCATAAGCAAACCTTTTCCTGTTATCTGATTGTAGATAGGAGACTAGGTGTGTGTGTGTGTGTGTGTGTCTGTGTAGTCAGACCCTGACAGATTTTTGTTAAAATAAAACTTTATTTTACAGGAGATTGAACACTAGTTTCTTAAGTCGCTTTTGGACATGCACTGAAGAACTTGGCAGTTTCTCTGTACTTTCTCTGGAGTGAAATGTGTGAACTCAAATGTCAGAGTGAGACACTCCACAGCCTGACCCATAAAGTCCATGGTAATCCAGGGGAAGTCGATATGTGCAGAAGTCGAACACAGCAGGGGAGTAGGGGGTTGATGAAAATTTAAAAAACAAAAATAAAACATATCTCTTGGTGTTAAAGCTGTGACATATCCGTAAAAGCCACAGACGAAAATGTCAAGAGAGTTTGTGGTGATAAGAGCTGATGACCGTGTTGGGTTGCTGGGAAAAAAAAAAATCAAGTGATCTATGCAGCAGAGATAATGCATCACTTCCTGCCTCTGTCTGCTGCACCTGGCTGCTTCATCTCTCATCTCACACTTCTGTGCAGAGAACCTCCTGTTACATTGTGCATGGGTGAAAGGGAAACCCTGGGTAAACTCCGTCTAGCAAATTCTCCAGATTTCACCCAGAGGACATTTCTGAAAATGGCTTTACAGACGTCATCAAGATTCAAAGCTTTTCAACAACAAATCTGAAATGGCGTCACGTTTGCATATGCCTTCATCATCCACTTCTCCCTCCCCCTCTTGGGTTATGGTTTCCTCTCTCTCCACTTCTCCTTGAACCACCCATCCCATGTCCAAAAACGCATTGTGCAACACACAGGCGGTCAGCACAACAGTTCTGGCTCGACTGTAGCTCCCAATATCCAGATACCTTAGCCTCTGAAATCTGGCTCTCAGGTTGGCAATGGCCTGATCCGCAATGTGAAAGTGCTCCTCCAGTGTCTTGTTGAAGAGCTCCTCTCTCTGTCCTTGACTTGTGACATATGGAGTTAAAATGTGAGCGGTGAGTGTGTAACCAGCTCTGGCTATAAGGCAGGAGCCTGGAGGCATCAGTTCAGGATGCTGTTGAAGTTTGTCTCTGAGAGCACTGCCTCTGTCGACGTCTGATCCTTTACTGATTCTGCAATGGAGGAACCGGCCTCTGCGGTCACATAAAAGCTCAAGGTTTAACCAGGAGTCTGGATGGGCTTCCTCCTTCATCCTCTTCACCTCAGGCACTGTGCTCTCCACATCATGTTTCCCAATAGGCAGGCGGATAGGGATGCGAGTGTGTCCCAACACTCCCAGCACCTGAGGAACACTTTGCTCTCCGTCTTCTTGCCCCTTCGCTTGACTGGAGATCGGGAAAAGGACGTCCACTGCATCTTCACCTGGAGAATACAGAGAAAATATCACCATTATCATTTTCTGTTTCTGCAATCATGTACAACATTGTATTGCCCGCCCCCCCAGTCATCAACCCACCAACTGGCCATCTGATTTGCATCTCCTCCAGTGTGTTGACACGCTCACAGAAAGAAAAGAAGATCTTGTGGATGTTTCCTTTCTCCACAAGGAAGCGGCGGGACACTGAGCCGTAGCTCACACGCTCAGAGAGCAGGGTGAGGGACAGCAGGATGGTGTGGGACAGAGAGAGGCGAGCCCGACCCACCAAACGAGCCCGCGATTTGGAGCTGTGAAGCAGGTCTGTGATGTACTAATGAAACAAAAAGAAAATCCTGTTACATTAGCCAACATCAGCAGATTCAACAAGTATCAGGTGAAATGTATGATTCATGCTGGATTACAAGCACAGTGGGCCCCAAAAAGTTATTTTTAAAAGCTGATACAGTTGCCTAATTACTTAAGAGGTTTGCACTAAAACATTACTGCTTCATTATTACTAATGTGCACCATAAACGGTGTATCAAGACATGAAAGCTCCTTGAAAGTTAAGTCAAAGCGTCTCGATCATCCCCTGGTGGCTGGCTTCAGTATAGATCATTAACCCCACCTCCATGTTAGTGGATGGTACATGAACCAAAGCAAAACGCCAAAATAAATATAAAATACAATTTTGATTGTTTCTGTTTGTGTGTTCAACTCCAACTGTTCACCTTTCTAAATTAGTTTAAATTTAATTGCTCGTTTTGAGGTCATAAAAACAGCTGAGACTGACTCCATCGGTCGGCAGGTATCAAGGGCTCCAGTCCTCTGGCTCCAAATGATGTCATTGTATTGTTAATGGGAGGAAGTGGAGACACGTCCAATTTTAAAAACAGTCTATTATGTGCATTTTACACACCGTTATAGTCTTGAAATATAACAATCATTCGATTATTGGACTCATGCGCTTTGTGTGCGTGTGTGTAGGGGGCCCTAGTCCCTTTTGCCTGGCGGCCCCCAAAGTCCTGTAGGACGCATGATGGGGAACCCTGTGTTTAGTGTATGTGCAAACAAGTGGAGCCAAACTCTCTTTGACAGATTCTTTAAAGAGTCTCAGACATGTTGGAGGACATCATGATCACCTTCACCGCGGCACTGTCCACAGACTCCAGTCGTCCCTGGGGCTCTGCTGGGGTCTCCTCCACTTGGGGGCCGCATGCTGTCGCCGCTGTGTGTAAAACCTGGGGCTCCACGTGTGGTTGACTCTGCAGTACGTGTAGGTACACAGCCGGAGGAGGCTGGGCTCTGAGCTCGGACAACAGCTCAGCCTCCAGGATCTCCTCCACCGCCAGGTCCAGCCGCTGCTCCAGCTCGCCCGCAGAGAGGGGCTGCCACTCCCGCCCCACCATGTCCAGCACGGCTCTCCCCGCCGATAAGACACACTCACTGGCGTCCATCAGTGGACGGCGATCCTTTAACCCACTTCCCCCGAGTCGGTGTAAGACCACGGATTATCGGCTTTGTCGCTTGTCGCAGAAACACGAGTGTGTACAGTTGTTGTTGTTGTTAGCACACTGCTAAGCTAGTTGACGAGCTAACGTATGCTGCGTTTGAGTGCCGTCTGAGTACAAGGAAAGTTGATGCGAGTTGCGTTTAGGAACCGTGAGCATTTATAAATCACCGTTTGCAAAACGGAATCGTCAAAAACGTATTTATTTATTTACTTTATACATTTTGTAACTTTATAAATCAGTTTTAAACGGCAACATTTCATTGATTGTTCAATAAGTCAAACAGAATATTATTATTATTTATCAAACTTTTTTATTTTAAATTTATGATCAGTATGCTTTGGAGGACTGTTTTTAGTTTGCCTTTTAGTCATTTCTTTTAATCTTTTAAATCTTTATTAGTGTCTGAGTTCCATACAGATACAATTTATTTATTATTATTATTATTATAAGTGGACTAAAACAAAATTGGTATCTGGGATATTGTGATGAGCTTTTATGACCTTTATTGACCAAACTATTAATTAAGAAATTAGTGATTTTCAGTTGCATCTTTGTGCATGGTTGTCTTATTACTACTGGTTCCCCTAATGTAAGGTGATCAAAAATTGTTAGAACTTGTCTTAAATCTAAACGTCTGCACACTGCAAAGCCTCCTATGACTGGTAATGGGGGCCTTTTATTTGAAACACATCAAACCAGCTTCAACATGTGCACTAGATTTATAGCATATAGCAGTAACTTTATCCCAGCACTAAGACACAATATATATTTACCATTGACTTTACAATCAAAAACACCACAGTGCACAACAGTGAAAAACAGTTGTTTTAATGTTAAGTCAGTTACAAGTGCAACTTTGATCATGTCCCACTGTTTAACAGCCTCAATTTGCAAATGCTTTTGTTTTGATATTTCATTCAACATCCGAGTCAGAATATCCTTTCCTGTGGTAACTAATGGAGGACTCTTGTAGTTTTCTAGATGACTCACATGACCATTTTCTATACACTTTAATTAGATTTTTTTGTTGTGCATAAGAGTTCATTTCTTTTTCTCACGTACTGTTGTGAAGTCAGGGATGGTGTATGACACAACACAAGTTGCAACATGAACTAAAATTAAAAGGGCAGTGATTCTGGTGAAAACAGAGAGTGAAATGTACAGCCCACAACTTGCAGACACCGTTCCCTAATTCTTCACACATCTCTCTGTCCGACTGAAACATATTCATGTTTACTGTGACCAATTAGGCCCAATGATTGAAGTCAACAAAATCCAATCTACTTGATTTCATTGGTTACAATCAACACTGGTAAGGAAAGTTGGTTAGTTCCCACCTTTGTTAATTATGGAAATGAATCAATAATCAATATTTTTGCTGCTTTGTCTGTGGCACATTTCCTTTTAAACACCAGGTCCATACCAGCATTACATAAGTTGTAGATACTCACGACTGAGCACATTAAGTCTCTATATGAGCAGTCGTGGAATGAAAACTACAACTACTGACAGATAAAGTACCAAGAAATCTTCACCTTAATACCAGATCCCCTGCTGACAAGTGAATCCAGTTCATTTCCGAGTCATATTGTTCAAAAGGTCTTGAAATACAGATAGTAACTTAGAAATTCACGAACCCCTACCTATTGTCTTAACACATATCCAGGCAAAAGACCAAAAACATGTCAAATTCTAGTAATAGTTTAATAAAGAAACACACAAACATAAAAGGCTAAAAATGTCACACCTTATCAACTCCCACGTTTAAGCCAGCAAATAAAAAACATAAGTAAGGCAGCATTAGCCTTACCCCAAAAAAAGACTAGAATTCATTAAATACGAGGTACGATTCTTAATGTTCAGCCTTTACCAATCCTGTGGATGACTGACAGTGTCATGACAAGTCCATCAGGTATCTCTGAAGGGCCTTGTGTGAAAGTATCAATTTAGCATGCGCTCTGATGTCAGGACAAATGAACCATTTTGAAGCACCCACCCCGACATTTACAACAAGGGGAATCAGTGTTTGTAATTGTTTGTGCCCAGCTGAAGACAGGTGAGGTAAAATTCACCCCGCTGAGGCATTGCTTCCCCAAAATTCAGCCCCTTCCTCCCCCTGTGCGTCCTCCCTCAGACCCCCTGTGCGTCCCTCTGCTTTACCCGCCCCCTCCCTTCACTGTACAGCCTGCTCGTTGGCTGTGCTGCCAGAGTCCTGGGGCTTCATGACGTCAGGGAGCTCAGGGGGAGTAGAGAAGGACTCGATCCTCAGCTGCTCAAATGAATCATCTGGGAGAACGACAGAGAGGGTTGACGTGACAGCAATGAGAGGGAGAGAAGAGACACCAGGTGGAGAGCAAATCAGATCGGAGCAGATAATTGGAGCTCGTAACACCATGGCATGAAATAAACAGTGACTAATTGGTGCAATGACTACAACACTGACTGAAAATGGTCTAACATAGGGGTTGATTAAAGTGTGAATTACTTACCACCCAGACGGAAAGCTAACCCCACTGTGGCTGGGGCCTGAGGTCGGGCCGTTTGATTTGTGAAGCCACAATTTCCAAGAGTTTGACCATCGTTCAGCAGCACGTCATCCTGGTGAACAAAACAAACAGAGTAGAGTTCATTAACTACATTTTACATTACTACTGTTAACCTTTCAGAAATCATGCTGGTAACTGCAACATCAAGATGGATATCATGATATAATCTGATAAATTCTCTGTAATATCCTTGGAAAAGTTGTTAGCAATAAAATAGTTAAACAGGCATGTTTGTATCTTGTGAATTTAACAAACTAAAAAAAAATAGATATACTGATAAAAGCATTGGAAAGGTCTCAGATACAGCACCACACCTTAAAAGTATATTAGTTTTATCCAGATAAAACTGCATTTTTCTTTTCCTGGAAATAACTTCTTCTTCACCACTCGAAAACAGCAGTTGTGATGTACTACCACTGACGAGTAACGTCCAACTAGTAAAACAGCAACTGCAAGACTTCAGATTGAAGCCACTTAAAAGAAGTAATGGTTGTGTATTCCTAAATTCATTTATTTGTTTTGTCATTCAGTTGTGTCTGTCAAACCAGTTCTATGGCATTTCTTCTCTGTATGTATTTGTTTTTCAGAGGTTTTAGCCTGAGCCTGGTCATAAAACAACAACAGCAATCATCAATTTCATACAGCATAGCAGCACACAGCTGTTAAAATATGTTATTCAAGCTGTTATTTTTTTTAAAAAGCACTGGTATGGGATGGCCGGATGGTTTTAGAATCAGTGTCAGGGGGAAAGAATTATACCAGAAATTCTCTAATGAGCAACAGCATGTTAAAATAAAATATTACCTACGACGTTGGTCTGAACATAGCACACATTGGTCTGGTATAACCATAGGTATTAAAGGGAACTAAAAAAAGAGGTAGAGTTCTGAAACCTTATAAAACTTTCAATGTCAAACCAAAAATTATTCATTTTACTGTCATATAAGAGAGAAAAGAGGCAAATCCTCACACTTAAAGCTGAAAGAAAAAGATATCAATCAACCAAGTATCATTCACGGATTATTGATTTTCCATTAAATCAATACAACAAATCGGTTTGATTCTTGAAACACTGAAAATGTCACCCTATCTCAAATGATATATTTTCATATTACACACCTCTACATTTTCCTTGAACTAATATTACTCTAAACTTACATGAACTTGTTAAACAAATGGGTGCGTATGAACCAAATAAACAAAGTTGTTTGCTATAAACACATGGTCAAACTTTTTTATTGTCATTCATAAATGTATGAATCACTGGAGATGCAATTTGTGTTGTTTGACACAACAACTTTCCCTCTGAACTGAAAAGATGTTTCAGGTTCATTTATTTCACCTTATAAAGTCTCTGATCTTCAGGTGGCCTCTTTAAAATGCCTTCCACAATGCGCTTCAGTTCATAGACTGTGGTAGACTCTTTGGCATCTGTGAAGATGGTCGCCTTGTGACGTCGGATCATAAGAAACACATCCTGGGGTGAGATCAGGAGACAGATGAGAAGAGTGGAATTCAGACACAGTTTACACCCAAGCACATTCACATCAGAAAAACAAATATGATGTATGACGACTGTGGAATAACTTATTTTTGACCCTGGTATTAACATTCATCCTGTGATCTGATCACAATTGATCAGTTTGTAGTTCAGGTCTGAATGCACCCAAATGTATCCTAACTGTGCTCTGAGATCTGATCACATTCTGGCAACATTCGTCTCACTGTTAAAACGCAAATGTGTCCACGTGTCCTGGGCCACAAATGGACCTCGGCTCCTACTCAGCTGACTTCCTCTGACTCACAATCATTTCACAATGAATCAAAACTATTTTACGCTTCCTACAGTGAAATATTGCCATGTAATCATTTATACCAAAAAATTTAATGTTAAGACCTGGTATTTATAGTCACGCTTAAGACCGGTGATCCGATCCTCAGGACACATATAACTGTCACTGAGTTTATAAATCAGCACAAGGCCTGCCATCATCAGATAGAAGGTTTATTAACAAATAATGGTGAAAAGCCTGGGAGTGGTGTCCAACTTGATGTGTGGTGGTTCTGATCTCAATGAAAACTGCTCTGTACACTCACCACTGAGCCACCAAACCATAGAGGGATCCGAGGAACCCAGATCCTTAATACATTAGTGTGAACTCAAGATAAAGTAATGTAAACTAGTAAAACTGGGTAGCTGATAACTTAGAAGTCCTTGTATCAGCCAGGTGACACAGAGTGACGCTGAGAGGCATCAGATGGTGAATCTGACACTGACAGCAGCTTTAGTGAGTTGGTAAATGTACAGCACAGCCCTCCTCCGTAACGTTACTACAATCTCTCCACCCCTGGCGTTTAAAGACCCACGGTGCTGCCGCAGCTGCTAGCTAACGTCATGGCGAGGTAGCTAAGCTACAGCGATTAGCCGACTGCTAGCTACTGTCGCTTCTTCAAAAAACAGGAGATGAGAACTTTAGACCCCGTAAGCTATGGAATGTTACAACCCCGAAAAACATTACAACCATCATCTTCACGCCGACCACTCCCTGATATGATTAAGTAGTATTTAATTCGTAGATAACGCTAGCCGAGCCACAGCAGCTAATGCCAACTTTAGCTAGCTTCCTAGCGGCTAGTTAGGCATGTCTTGAAAAACCAAAGTTTGTTGCTTGAGCTGTCACGTCTTCATAATGACGTTATCTCGACCCTCTCCGCCAAATCTACGAGCGACCCGAACATTGTGCTGTCACGTCCTGTTTGCGTGAACTGACGTGTTGACATTAGCCAGCGCAGGTCTGCTAGCCTCCTTTAGCATAGGTTAGCTAAACAAAGGCAGCAGCTCCTGGACGGTCGCTTTTAGTGACGGGGATCGTTCGGCCACTGGCGGCACAGGTTTGAACCCGCAGATAAGGACGTGGTGGCGGATTAAAGTCGATCTGCGGAGTCATCGGGCCGCGGCACTACGAGATGTTTCTGTTTTCCTCACTCACCATTTCTTGCGGTTGGCTGCACACAGGAAAAAAAACGCCTCCACTGCAGCGACAACAGCTCACAGCGGCATCGGGCTTCAGACACAGACAGCGGCCGGTCCAGCACCAGCCAGCAGGGGGCGAGGGAGAGCCTTATCCACGAGTCAGCAATGGTTTAAAGAAACATCCAACATGTTGAGCTTGTGGAGAAATAGAACAAGTGTGTTATTGTGTTTGATAAAACGACTTTTTAAAATGTCTCTCATGTGGTTGAAGCACACTTAACCACAAATATGATTATTTACGATAAGATAAGAAGTCTCATATTAGTCGCACAATGAGGAAATGTGCAGAGGTTCCCAAACTTTTCAGCCCCTGAACCCCATTTTTCTAAAAGGATATTTATCTGAACTAGTTCACTCAATAGTTTGCACGTTTCAATGATTCCTGTGGTGCGGTTAAAAAAAAAGAAGAAAAATCTGCCAGAGGCTGCAACTGATGCTGTCATTATTCTGTCTTTGTCAGCTCTGGAGTCACGAGGAGACAAAGAAAGTCATGAGGCTGATGATTTATGATGATTCACATGGATTTACTTTACATTTAACTAGTATTGTTTTGATTAAGTAACTATTATTAATGACATATCTTTGTTTTAAAATCATATTTGATTTCTCAATCGTCTTGTGGCCCCTCCCCCAGAGGATCCCAACCCCTAGTTTGAGAACTAGATTTATTTTACTCAAAAGACCTTTCTAATATGGCAGCGTTAAATAAGTCACATGGTTAGATAAGAACATGCATCACTCATTTCTGTTGTTTCCTATCATTTGCCTTTAACATTAATTTGGAACTGTGTATTCAAAGGCACTATATAAATGAACTTGTTATTTTTATTATAACAATCAGGTGTAGAACTAGAATGTCATTAAGTAGAACACATACATCTGCTGAGGCCCAACAGTCCCCTTGTGGAAATTAGGGATATTGATTACCTTTCTAGATGATCAGATTTGAGGACTATGATTCTTCCCTTTAGATTCAGCAGTTTTTCAGTTTTGTAGGATGAAATACCTCAAACTCCCTGGTGAAACAAACAGGTGTTTTTGTGTGAGAGGACTTCCCTTCCTCCTCTCAGCCTGACAGCAGCTGTCACCACAGAGAGTGGAACAGCTGAGCCCACATCAGCACAACAGACACGCACATATCAGGCGAGGTGTCACAGGACATTTGGGATGACAGTTTCTTTTAATCTTGTGACGTTGTGGAGTTTGTGATTTGGTCTGCTGGTCAGCAGCAGATACAAACAAAGCAGACATTTTCACGACTAATCGAATGAATGTTGGCTGAATTCCATTCAGTCGTTTCAGTTTCCCGATATTTTGGCTCTTACTTAGAAGCTTAAACTGAACAGAGCAGAGGCGTCATTAATTAATATTGTCACTGGCACTTGTGCTTTTTTTTTTGCAATGGCATCAAAATGTCTGTGGGGAAATCAGCCTATAAGCATACAATTTCAAATAATTATTTTTGTGAAATAAATCGTATAATGTTCTTAAATTAAAATTGTCCATTTACCAGGTGACATCTAGAAAATGAACACATGATCTTAAGGCTGTGCTCTCATTGAGATACTGTAGTTTTAATGCAGCACTGGACACCACATATCGACTCATATCGACTTATTGACGCATCAGATGTCTCATGTATTCTGACTTTGAACAACTGATCTTGAATTTGTATTGATTACACATGAATATTATTGTCTATCCCTCTTTTTCTAGAAAGGAAAGTTTATTGATTTTTTATTTTTTTATTTTATAGACAAAAACTACAAAAACTAATTCCTGCACAGCAGCTTGAAATTGGGCATTTCAAATTTCTGGACTAACACTGACGTAGAAGAACCACTCAGCTCACAAGATACAATCAAATCCTAATGTAAAACAAAATGCTGTAACTATCAGTCTCAACCTGCACATCACTTTTCTCCACTTTTGTTCATCATAGAAATCCATGGACTCTTGGTCACCTGCTCTTGGTAACAAACTGTCTGCTGCTGTCATTCTACTAGATTTTGTACATTTACAGTTTATGGTCGTACAATATCATCCATCCATCCATCCATCCATTATCTATTCCGCATATCCTTTGAGGAATCATGGGGGGAGCTGGAGCCAATCCCAATTAGGCGAGAGCCGCGGTACACCTTGTACAGGTCACCAGCGAATCACAGGACCAACATACATAGACAAACAACCATTCACTCTCACGTTTACACCTACAGTTCATTTTTAATCTCCAATCAACCTAACCCAGTCTGCATGTCTTTGAACTGTGGGAGGAAGCCAGTGTACCCAAAGACACAGAGAAAACATGGCCACTCTACAAAAAAAGGCCCGTGAACAAAAAAACCCCACATGCAAATCTGAAAATTGTTTTCTTGTTTAGACTTAATGGACCAAAATAAAGAGAGTTAAAACCAGAACATATTTTGGACTTAAAAGGTTGAGAATGTAGACAATTGCAGCTTAATATCCAGGATCTGTTCTTGTCAGCAATGTCCTCGTCCAGGTAAAAAAAAAAAAACAGGATTCCAGAGTTCCTAAATTGGAGCCATGAAGTGAAGCACAGCAAAGCTTCAGCACGACGATCCTCGACTAAGTCAGAATACTTCCATGGCCCAATAATATTCCTCCTCCATGTTAGTTATTAGTCCGATTGGGTTTCCACTTTCATTGACCTGTAAAAGAAAAATAGTTTTTTTTAACTCTTTTAACAACTGTTTGTAAAATTTCTCAAACTTCTCTGAGATTGTCTTCAAATTCACTCTTTCAGGAAAAACACCTCTAAAAACTCATAAGACATTCCCCAACTTCTACCACCCAAGGGAAATGTTAAGTATTATATTAAAACATGTTTGGTTCTTGTTATCTACTCAACTCACCCATCTATCTCACCACAAAAGCACTCTCTTGGATCTTGGAATAAGTAAACTGTGGAACAGCGAGGCAAGAAGACAAAATTAATTTAACAGTTTCAATAAGACAACGTCTCCTCCAAACATGAAAACTTTAAAAGCCTACACTTACGTCCAGTCCTCTTGGGGATTGGACAGGCTCCAGTCCTCTACAGCAGAGCATGGAAAAAGGCCTCTGCTTGGTCACTGGATGCTCTTTGAAACACAGACTGAAAACCTTGGCGGGTAGGTAGACATCCCAGTCAGCTGCATGCTCCTCTATTAGATCACTGACCATCCTGTATGGAGACGATTAGAAAAATGACAGCGTTGACTTGAAGGCATGATGAAAGACACACACAGGAGTTTTCTCAGAAACATCAGAAGTAATTAAAATCAAACTGAGCAGAATATATTTCACTGAGGAGCGACAGCATCAGTAATGTCCTCTGTAACTCTGGGCCCATTTATTGGTCCTTCTCTGCTGTATTTTTCATTTTCCCGTGTCTAACTGAATATGAAGTCAATTTTAAGCTGGGAGATGCATCAATGCAACACCAGTTTAGTCAGGATGATAAATATTGCCCTGAATTTGAACATTTGTAACTGTGACATACATAAAATGAGTAATTCCCTTAAACATACAATATGTAACTTTGGCCACTAGGGGTCTCTCAATGCAAACAATAATAAAACACATAGTTAAATGATGTTCAAATCAGGCTCTCGGATTAGAAAAATGTATTTAAGTTTTATTCACATTTTGCAGAAAACAGCAGTGAATAATTGGTGATCTGGCGAGCACTACGTTTTTTCCTCCACCGTCCTCTTTGGGGATGCAACACAGCAGATTTGCAAGTTGTGGGACTAATAAATGATTATTGTTTCTTATCTTATCTTGCTGGAAATAATGGAGTACAGACGTTTACAATATATATAACATAGGTCTAGTTGTTTTTAGGCATTTTAATGAATAATTGCTATATATTATATCTTGAAGTACAATGAGATAATAAAATTAATTGTAAAAATTTTACACCCACCAGTTATTATATAGTCTTGCTCATGCAATTTGTGCGCATTGAAAATCAAGGTTGCTATTTGAGAGCCATATTTTCAATGGAGTCTATCTAAGTTGTTTATTGATAAATGCCGAAAACAAATAATACACTTAATGTAAGGGGGAAGTTTCAAATGGTTATTAATTTAAATTATATTAAGCGGGGGTGCACTCATTTTTATTTTTTATAGTACATTATTAATACAGACCTGTTAATCAGCTGCGGTGTGATCACATCTGTGGTGCCTGTCTGCTGATGATAGATGACAAGAGCGACGGTGACGTTCAGCTGATCTTTCAGTTCTCTGTTGATCTGGCATGAGGACACATTCACACACACATCTATGTCAGACACAGGCAGTTCAGGTACAATATTATCACAGGATTTGACTTAAGACCTCCCCACCTCTGCTCTACCTCTACAGTTTTCTTCAGTTGTGATTGGTCAGTGAGGTCAGTCCAGGAACATGTACACAGCACACTCATGCAAATGTCAGAAGATAGGCACACAGATACAGGAACGGTACGGAGAATGACAGGGTCAATAAAGTAGTGGCCCTGCCAAAGTTCATACCTATTAGATTTTTTATTCTTTTAGATTTTATCAAGATCCTCATTACCTCCAAACAACAGTCACCCTGTCCAGTGCTCTGATTGGCTTTAGTTGATGTAAATTCATCTAGATGTTTTGATCTGGGACTTTTGTTGGAGAGCTCTAAAATTAGCTTTTGATGCAGAGCATCAGCTAATGTCATAAAACTTGACTTAAGTTAAGACACTTAAAGACGAACAACTATTATGTTAAAATCGAGTAAGGTTTTACTGACAAAATTATTTCACATATCAGCCTACTATTAAAAAACTTCCCAAAGTATTACAGTCCGATTGATTAAGTCCTGATAGTCAGTGCACCACTGCTTGTCCACATTATCAGGCTTTTCTTTTTTATTTTGTAGAGCTTCCGCTTTTTGTTCCACACTGCGGCAGTTCCTATTGGTTTCAATCAGAAACCCCCCTGAGCCTACATGACTATTTGTCTTTTCAAATAGCTTATGGTCTTTATCTAATGTTTCATATTCCCATATAATCCTTGTTGTTGCAACGGGAAAAATGGAACCCCCTGTCATTTATTTTAACCAAGAAATAATTGCAAATAAAAGCATTGAACAATGGTAGAGATGGGAAAGATTCTTGTGTTTACAACCTCTGAGCGTTCAGGGCATCGGACAATAAAAGATGACAGACTCCGGCTTACATGAGGCATATGTGATCATGTGATTTTCAGGCAGTTCAGTCACGAAAATCATATTTACATATATATTTGCCAGTCTCAGGCAAGATTTTGATATGAAATAGTTTTCTACTTCTTCTGACATGTGTGGTTCAGTCATACACTCACTTTGTGGACTATGTCATGAGGCAGTCTGGAGAGGATTCTGAGCGGGTACCCAAAGTGGTTGATGATGTCCACGATGTGCTTTGCGACATGCGGAGGGAGGCACGACTGCATCGGCACAGCTTCCACCCACTTGGAGTTGTAATCTGTCACAGTCACAATGTATTTGTGCCCGTTCAGTGTTTGGGGCAGGGGTCCTCTGACATCAAGACCAAGCCACTGCCACGGCTCTTTCACCTGGAATCAAACAACATGATGTCATATCATGTCAAGCCATATGAGACAAATTAAGATTTGTGAATATGGGCTAAACAAATAAACACTGACTGATTGATATCATTACACAATGAAATCCTTGGCTGATTATATTTAATAAAGATGAGCTGGAACACTTTCATTCAGGGAACAGACATACCTCGATCACATTTTCAGGATCTTTACATTCTGCCTGTGACAAATACACAAAAAACATTTGATTAAAATACATTGCATTAAATATTGTATTTTAAATGTTTAAAGTAGACTACTTACACTTGAATTATCATCTGGAGCCCACTGAATATCCTGTTGGAAAAAATGTGTTCAATTAGGCATGTAAACATCTGACAACAGAATGTGCATTCATTTGTCCATAATGAATTCGCAAATAATACACCTTTACACTAATCAGTTGAATTATACTAAATGTAATATCTGCACTCATGGCTCTTACCTGTGGGACGCAGTAATCTCCATGGAAGAAATGAGGAAATGACTCAATATTCATCAGCCCTTCATCCACTATAATCCTCCATCTGTCAGATTTGATTGAGTCTTTGTCTCTGACCATAGAAACAGAAAGGTTCAACACATTAAAGAGGAAACAATTATTGCAGAACAGCCTTTAAAACAAATCTGTCGATCCAGGGAAACAAATCTGTAAATCCAGCGAGCAGTGGAGTGATAACAGCCGGAAGGCAGCAGTGGATCCTGATCATAGACTGTAAATAAAGATGTGTGACATGATTGCTCTCCAGAAGGTAAGCCAAAGCATCTTAATCGCGACCTGGTTAATGTGTCTCAAAGATCATTATTAATCCATTGTAGTTTTTATCACACTGATGTTTGTTCAATTGTTATTTTTTCCAGGTTCTAATTAGTTATTTGATGATATAAAACGTGATTAAACATCATAATTGACAGCTGAGATTAACTCTAGACTCTAGAGTCTAACATTTGATTCAACAGGACCTTGCTCCCACGGCTCCATCCCCCGATCCTTACTGTGCAGACTCTGACTCCAAATACGCAAGATGTTAGCATTCATATCTGGGATATTTTGGCTTCATTTCTTTGATAGTGAGAGGAAGTGGAGAGATGTTTTTGTCCATCTTTATTTACAATCTATGAGCCTGATCTGGCTTCAGTTTTTGGAGCCTTTGTTGTTATTTTTTTAATTTGCACCAACAGAACATCTTATACCCAATCCTTTAACAGTAAATATGTATTATTGTGTTCTGAGTAAACATCTCATTTAACCTTATAAAGTGTAAGAACATTTACTGGCTTTACTATCATTTTATACCAAGAGCTAGCACCATTTTTTATTGTAAAGTAGTTCCAGCTCTAGTGCGTTCATTTTCCATGTTATGTTTTTTTTTAGCTTCAGTACATTTGCCTTCCACAGTGTGTTTGCCTGTATCTTATCTGGCACCCTGAGGTATCCAACTGCCTGTGGCTCCAACAGGCCAAAACGCAAAATAGGATTTCAAGCAATATAAAGAAAAAATGAATCGACTAGCTGCAGCATAACTGTCGCAGCAGCCAGTATTTCAACTTATCAACTTCCTTGATTTTCATGTCATGGTCATTTTATGATCATATATAGAACCTTTAAATATTGTTTTCTCTAATCTGGTGTGTTTTAAATAGAAAATTTGACACAATACACATAGAGAAAGTAAAACAATGGAGGGCTAAAGTGTCTCTGTTGAGAAATAACATACCCCACAGACTCCACTTCCTCTGTTTGACTGCTCTCCTTGTTCTGGACAGTTCTCTTTGCTTTGGCAGGGGTGGTTGCTTGAGACTGATCAGGATCTGTTTGTGAGGCATGTGTCTGGATTCAGAAAACAACGAAACACACTGAATGTTATCGAGTTGGTATTATTAAAGCTTATAAACTATTATACTGACTCTGTGGTGCTGAAGTTAACAATGGCTGAACTAAAGACAGCACTTATTTTGCTGTAATTGATTTCCAAACAAGATTTAAGTAAGATCCATTTGATCAAAAGCTGTTTTATACATTTTGAGAAAATGAAGCAACATGCTTAAAAACCCAAACTGTCTCAAATCTCACTTTGTTCCTCTTACTTCTGGTTTTGATGGAGGCCTACAACAGGGAGAAAGATAAATATTAGTTTTAATTATTACAAACAGATGAAGATGAATTTGTGTTTAGAACTAAAAACGAAACAATTTTTCCCAAACAAATGATCAGCTGATTTTTATTTCTAACTGGTTCCACTGACGCTGAGTAAGTTAATACACACCCTCCTTGTCTGTGTGTTGTCAGGGGGTGAAAATATGGTGGGGACTGCATCTTCTTTGAGTTTCACACTTTTGCCTGTTCTGTCGATGTACTGCTCCTCAAAATGACTGATGCACAGGACAGAGAAGCGGGATGGAGTCCAGTCCTTCCACTTCATGTTGACGAGCCATTTCTTCAGTTTCCGGGGATTGTAGAGAGGAAACCTGTTGTAACACACAAACTCACTGAAACAAAACTAAAGCCATGTCACTCTGTTTCTTTATATGTTTGTTTCAAAGCAAGATCGCAAAAAAACAACTTGGCAGATTTCCACGAAACTTGATGGAAGGATGTATGATGGGGTCAGGGAAGAAGCCATAAAACTTTGGTGTGGATCCGGAACAGGTCCAGATTTGTTGTTTTACATTGCTTGATTTTTTTTCACCAAAACGTTTTCCCAAGGAATAATTCATGGATCTTATAATTCGTGTTGGATGTAAACAAACAGCAGAGTCAGTGTAAATAGTTGTTTAAACACAGTTTACAGTTAAAAGAAGCTGTGATAACTGGCTGATTGTTGATTTGAGGACCTGGGTGAGCTGTTCAGAATAATAATAAAAAGATCTTATCTTTGTTAAGTGACGAACTTAACTTTATTAATCTTTGCATCTATCTTATTTGTGTCCAGTTCAAATATTACACTTCTTTTTTCATTACATAGAGTTTGTACATTTCCCTCCATACATTTCGATTCCTGAGGATCCAACCACGTTTGTGTTTTGGTTGATTAGGTCTAATGAAAACAACAGTGAGTAAAGTAAATACAACACAGTGCCTGCTGTTATGCGGGTTGTCCTCCATTACCCAGACTGTACGAGTCAATTCACCTACAGAGTACATTAGAACATTTGATAATACTTTCTAAAATTCGTACTTACTGTAAATACAACTTAAAGACGAGCTGCATCACACTTCTAACTAATGTTATTGCTGCTAGCTTACATTCACCTCACTATGCTAACTTCCTACTTCCTGGTTTATGTCTACAGATGTTTGCTAAATAGAAAACTTACTTGAAGAACTTTACATCTGAATCACTGGAGCTCTCGCAGTTGTAGGCACATTTGTATCTCCCCATTTTAAACACAGTTCACCAGCAGACAGACTGATTTAGTTGTTTCTGAACGAGCAATGAAAGCTACAATAAGGGTGTACACATCCGGCTAAAGCCTTCGAAATAAAAGCCTCACAAGTTTGAAATGTTGGTTTACGTTTGAAAATCCGTATCGTATCTATGTATATAAATATGTTTAGCAATATATATATATATATATATATATATATCTTTATTTTAGTATTAAATCATCTACATTCAACATCGCTCAACACCACATATAGTTTACTGTCTAAGCCTAAACCTTTTTCCGCTGTTACCCTTCTGGATGCTGCTAACTTGACAACCATTTTATCTTTTGTTCTTCTTCGTGTTGTTTTGTTGGTTGAAGAAGGTTCAACGTCGCCCCCGTCCTCTGGCGGATGGAATTGTTTTTTGTTTGTGTTTTTTTTGGGGGGGGGGGTGGTTCTTCGCTGTTCTTCTCACAGCGAAGAACAGAAAGACTTTTCAATAAATAATTAAAATAATGACTTTTGCTCTCTGATTCTACAATTTTGTGTTTAATTAACTCATAACAAATCTAAATATGAATGTACAAAATATAGATTTCCTTCTAAATGTATCATCCACACTGACATTGACACAGATTGAATCAAACAGAATGCACATGAAAATATAATTGTTTATTAGATGTGATATAAACAGTGACAATTGGCTGCAGATGCCTCACAGCTCAGCTGCTCTTAGATTTCCACGTGACCCTCCACTCATCCCAGTCCAGCAGAGTTCGTTTTGTGTCCCATCCTGCAGCTTCTACACCTGGAAAATATTTGAGCAGATTCATGATTCTTAAAATATACAAGATCACGCTGATTACTGGTAGTTATAAACTGTTTTGTGTGGACTCACCTTTGAGAAACGGATTAAAAGTAGTGTCAATCAGCTTGTGACTCTCATGCACCATCTCCCAGTGACCTTTAAAAGAACAAGTTTGCTGTGTTTTAACATTCGTAACCTTGAAGCATCTCTACTACTGTAACTGTGCCATAATGACTCACTTTGCTGTTGTGTAACAGGTTCTTTGGAAGCTGGAGGGCTTAACTTGCTGCTGATCCACACAGCATGACACATTGCTCTGATTTCATCATGTACCGACGCTTCTGGTCCCAAACAAACACATACACACCCTGAGGAAGGACGACAGGAGACTTAAAAACATTCAAAGTATTTAACACGATTCTTGAACACAATTTCTGTCAGTGAAGAAAGATGTCATCTCACGTTGACGTACCGTTTCTCACTCCTAAGAGGTAAGGCATGTTCTTTTTCCACAAAGCCATCTGAAGATCTTCTGGGCTAATAAATAGGAAGTTAAAAACTTTCTCAACTTTTACTGTGTGTGCTTTTTCTTCATATAAGAACTGGTAGATGAAATTACCTTTGCACAATCTCCTGTAGCCTCACTCCAAGTCTGATTGGCACTGTTTTCCTAAACTCTGGGGGGGGGGGAACACAATTAATAATTTTCAATGTGCATAAATAACATTTTGCAACTACAATAGGAAATGTGGGTTAATTTATTTTACCAAAGAAAACTGTCTCTCTCTGATTGGCCTCTTGTGGACTCAGGACTCTTTTGTCTTTCAGGTATTGCTGCCACACGATTGAAAGCCGTGCCTCATTGAAGGTTTCCATGACAACCGAACGCACAGCCTTGTAATTGGCAAAAAGGTGGAGGATGGTGAAGAGGAAGAAGAGGCTGAGAGTCAGTCTGAGGGGGCAGATGGAGGGAATGAGGACAGAGGGAGATGACATTAAAGAAGCAACAGACTCCGGAATATAATTAAAATGTCTTCGTGATTTCAAGTTCAAATGAATTCACACATACATTGGATTATTAGTGACGAGGGGAATGAGCATCAAGCTGATCAGCAGTCCTGCCAAGTTCACTAACGTCTCCTGGGAAAATAAAAAAACATTAAAAAGAATAATCAGTCTTTTTGAAACATTTTTACTTGAACATAAATCAAATGAATCTTTTGGTTTTCAGGTCCTGGTGCAGGGTTATCAAACAGAACAGAGAGACAAAAACTTTTGGAAAGAAAGTACCTGACTTCCATCTTTGGCAGAGATGTCGGCCATGTTGTCTCTGCGTGCCTGATGAACCGTCAAAGCAGCTCTGGTCGCTCCACCTGCAACTCCAACAATGGACTAGAGAAGACAAACACATAAGCTCAGTTGTTTTCAGCAAAAACACATTAATTACATAATTAACACCATAAAGAAAATCATCATTTGTGTCAAATTTGACTTCTGACCATTAAGATTTAAAGTTCATGTTCTCAGTAACTTACAACTTCTTCAGCTTTAGAAATAGTAATTTTGAGTTTTTTAATCATTAATCACGGATGACTAAATTAATTTAGACTCACCTTGAATATCCCAGCGATACACACAATCGAGATGAAACAAGCAGGGAAGTATGGGGCCAATATCTCCATGAACATGGCAGTGTCGTTGAGCACATCAGCAAAAAGCCTGGAAAGACGAGGACAGCAACAAACTTGTGACATCAAGTGGGTTTACGATAATGTTTAGACTCCATAAGTCTTCAAGGTACAGTGTCTGTACATCGTCCATAGAGTACCTCCATTTTTTGGCCTCAGAGTCCAGTTTACTCCTGTAACAGAAACAAAGACATTCCACCAGGAAAGGATGAGACACTTGTTAAGCTTTTGCTTGAATAGATTAATAGCACAAATATGAGCGTACCCTTTCTGCCAGGCGAAGAGGATTCTTCCCAACATGCCCGTCCCATCTGCAGGGGGAACACAATATCACAAGATGCATTGAAGATCCAAGAGGATTGTCATTTTAATGGTGGATTATCTAGGACTAAGAGGTTGTGTCTTCACCCCTGTCCATTGGTTTCTTTGTGTGTCAGAAGGATTACAGATGTCCACCACACTTGGTGGTAGGAGGGAAAGAACTGATTACATTTCGCTGTGGATCTAGATGTAGATCCAGGAACAATTTTTTATCCCTTTGTTTTACATTGCAAGTTCTTTTGACCTCTTCACTAATTTCCAAGGAAATGATTCATGGATCTTATTAAAACTCCACCATATCTTGAGAACTGATATCTATGAGTTTGTGCAACTTGGTGTGGCTCCAAGTAAAAATCTGGATCTAGCAGATTTAAATGTGGTTTTAGTGTGGGTATGGACAATGGGGCCGATCACTTTCTTTATGTAGCGAGACAGGGGCCCTCGGTGGAGGTGTGCTGAGTGTGGTTTTGTTTTTTTAAAGGGATCACCTCTCAATAACCAGGTGACTGTGGCTGCAGCCACTGTGGCCTCTTGGTCTCCAACACCGACCCCCTTGAGAGACGCCTGAGTGGCCAGAGTCCCAGACAGAGAGCTGGAGAAAGCCTGAGGGGGGAGAGAGGAGAGAGTGGGGGGAGAGTTTCAGTCTGGTGGGGGAGTGGGGGGGGGGGGGGGTTGATGGAGATGATGCAGCTCTCAGTGGATCTTGTGATGTACCTGCACTGTATCCCAGAACTGGTACTGCAGGTAGTCATCACTGACGCTCTCTGGGTAGCCTTGAGGCAGAAACACGCTCTGAAATCCAAGGATTTAAATGTCAGCAACCAGTAGAAGAGTCAGTGTTTCGACGCGGACATGCAGTAAATCTTTCTTACTTTAAACACTCCAACGATAGAGTTTGTTCTTGAAGCACCTTCACTGCCTTCTCTCCTTCTCTCTACCGCTCCATCTTTCACTGAATACCTCCAGGAGCCCGCGCTGCCATATCTCTCTGTGGCCAGAAGCAGCTCGCTGTCCTTCTCCATTCAGGCAGCTGGGAGCGGAACTAACAGACGGAATGTGAATAAACTAACAAACAGAACAACACTGTGGTCTCACAAACACCGGGGAATGCTTAGCGAGCGTTCATTTTGACCGCACACGCGTTTTATCGCAGCCAGTCGACGTGTCCGTGTTGCTTCCGTGTTTTCTTCCGCCTTCACAGTTTGGGGATCGCTCATTGGTGGAGAGAGTTAGAGCCGGTGCTCCAACATGCACGTGACCTGAGAGTCGAACATTTCAAACAACAGGTTCATTATTAAAATGATTATTATTTCTGACAACGAAATGTGCAGCTGCATCTCCAGTCAAACAGAGGTTTTAAACAATAATACAAAAATCTCCAATTTAATTTAATTACATGAAAAATAATGTATGAAATGTCAGAACAGTCCATAAATATATGTGATGTAAAAGTATCAAACTACACATAAAAGGAAGCGAGAAGAAGAAACACGGGGTCATAACTACATTCATATTTATTATACATGATGTATGATATCAAAATATAAAATATCTCTCTCTCAACACGTTTGGGGAAAGACGGACAGTCAGTGATATATGTTTTCAAAATGAATTATAACAATTGTTAATTAAGTGTTAACACTTTATTAAGTATGTATGTATCTATTTACTTGAGTAGGGTATACAATAATGGTAAGATATTAGAAATCATTACTTGGTTTTGAACTCTTGGTTGATGGAAGACAAGGCCAAGGGGTAACCACCATGTCACAGCAAGAAGCTTCCATCCTGGTTTGTCCGGGGCCTTTCTGTGTGGAGTTTACATGTTGTCGCAATGTTTGCATTTTATCTACTGTGTCCAAAGACATGCATGAAATGAACGTGTGCGTGAATGGTTTTGTCTCTATATGCAACACACTGGTGACTCATCCAGGGTGTGTCCTGCCTCTCACCCAATGCCAGCTGGGATTGCCAACCCCCTCTACCCCCCTTTAAGAATAACCAGTAGAGATAGATAGTTTGCTGTCTGGATACTCAAAGATAAAAATATTTGTTTTAGCCAAAGTAAAAGTTACTAAATCATTGAGTATTCTGTAGGTAACAAGAAATATGTCATGTCTTTCTGGTTCCTGGGTGTCAATAGGAGCTGATAGGATGAAACAGCACAGCAGACCTCATGCTCTTGCTGTTCTCCATGAGGGAAGACCCAGCTGTGCATGAGGTGGTACAGTGTACAATGGGTGACGTCAGCACTGAAAAAATGCAGTCTGGTATTCATCAATCACACCGCCAAGGTGGAGTTAACACTCTGTCTCTTATCTCTCAAAGCGAAGGGAAGGCAGGTGACTATTAACGCTTAAGCACAACAAGAGGCCTCGTCCGACCCCTTGGATTAAGTACAAGAGTTTGACAGATGGAGGGATTCTTTCTGTAGTAATGAGCATTAAAAGAGAGCGTGCAGTGTCTTGTTTACGACTCCAACATGAACTTAGCAAACAGTCGAGACTGTGGCAGTTTCACCCCAAGGCAAGACGTGTGGAGACACACCTTTCCCCGGGTCCTGAGGAATGTGGTAAGGAAAAGACACGAGGGAAAAGTTGTAACGGCGAACGAAGGAGAGAGGAAGTTCTGACTCAAGGAACAGAATATAATATAACCATCTGAACAAAGGGTTTGACAAATCTGTGTGGGAGGGGTAGAAAGAAAAAGGCCAACCACATTCAAATGGGCGTGGAGGTTTCACACAGTTTCACCCCCCCCACTTCTCAATCCTGTCATTCAGCAACTTATATGACACAGGGACAGGTCGGCCTCGGCTTGTCATTCCCACTACAGAGGCAGGAGCAGTGTTTGGATGAGCACATGTGGAATTCTTGACTAAACGAAAAGAAAAGAAAACCCTCATGTGGCAGGTGTCACCTTAAACTGGGGACAAGAGGACGATTCACCTGCCAACTATAATATCAAGGCTTAAATATTATCCTGTAAAACACTGGATAAACCGAAGAAACGCTTGTGGACTGAGACTGAGGAGCGGATTCGGTGCAGTGCCGTTTAAACTGGATCAGGTTTGTACTTAAAGGTTCAAATTTGGTTTTGGAGGTTTAATAGTGTTTTGACATCTGGTCAGGTTGTCATTGTTAACTCATTTTTGTCAGATAAAAACCTTATGAGTGGTTTATCGGTGAAGCTTTTGTGTCGTGTACGTTTAAAGAACAGAAACTCTTGAAGACACAAACCAGAAGTTTCTCAACACAAATGATTCACAGCCCTGCATTTGTCACACGCTGTTGTTCACTCAGTGACAAACACTCAGAGCATGCCAGCGTGGTTGAAAGAGAGATAAGATCAATTAGCATTTTATGTTTTCATTTCTCCATGACAGCTTTTTAATCAAAGGGGAGGTTTCGATGTGTTCAAAGTGCGAAGACACAAGGTTCTCAGGCCGTGTATTTTTTTTATTTTTGTGGGGAGGCTTTAAACTGTGGATGTTCAGGGTACTTTCTGCTTCATGCCGGGAACTCACAGAAACTGCTATACTGAATATTCTCAAAGGATGTGTTGAGAGTTGTTTGAAATTGTCTCATTCGGTGAAGCGATATTAAATGGCAGGTGAAACTGAAAACAAAAGTTGAACATAGCACATGAGCGGATGCCAGAAAGTGGAAATAAAAGTTTTCCCTTTGTGCCTCGTTGGGGCCCCTCTGTTTGGGAGTTTTGTTACTTTGTACAGTCAATCAATGTGGAGTCATACTACTGTAACAAAGCAGTACTCTGTCATAGTATTTTCAGAATGTGAGCAGCAATATAAATAGATAAAATACAATCCATGAGGCAGATGAGTCATAATACATGTGAGGTCATGTGCATTGTTCTGAAAATCCGTGGAACACTAAATTCATAAATACCTGTAATCAAATAAACATTCACCTACACACAGCTTGTCCTCAGATAAACAAGGAAACTCATTATTGAGTTGAATACTTGAGTTATTTGAGAAAGCAACAAAGCAGCGATGCAGAGGAATCAAAACTCTTCTGTGCTTTTACAAACTCAAATAAGGAGATTTTAGGAATTGTGGTATTGCTAAAAACATGGGCTATGTTTTTCAGAGATGAACCAAATACCTCAGACGTCTGTAGCAATGGATATGGAACCACTGAACACCACGCCAGGTTCGGCTGAAGATAGAGTAGAGGTCTGCAGCAATGAAGGAGACGCCGTGTCCTGCTGTGATGACAGATACCACAGGAAACTGGCCGTCTGCAGCATCATCTGTGGGATCTCCTGCATCGGGATCAAAGCACTGATACATTCAGTCAAGGTGCTTTGTTGTCTCACTCTTCTTTTCTGCTCCTGTTTTTTTTCCTCTCTCACTCTGTCAGTCACAGTGTCTAAAGCCTAAAGCTGCACATTCCTCATGTTGAGAAAATGAAATGTCGTCAGTTAAAGTCCTGCAGCCAGGCTCACTCTCACTACCTCTGCAGAAACAGCTCATGCAGTTCATGTTGGTGAATTCAATGTGCTCTGGATGCCCTCATGTGCACTGAGAGGGGTTTTAGTTCCTCCTGCACAGCGTCTGCAGAGGTCACACTCCTCCTCAGTTCAGCTGTATGAGGCTCCAGCATCCTGAGTCAGACAAGTTCAATGAAAAGCATCAGGGGCCGATGCAGACCCTGTGCAAGCTGTATATGCCCCAATCAGAGAGTGCTTAGTTATATTTCATATATTGTTATGATGATGTCATGTAGTGCAGGGGTACTAAACCTTTTGTAACTCAAGGCCCACTTCTGATTGTTATGAACGTTCTGAGGACCACCTTTTCAAATAGATTAAAGAGAGAAAACAACATGTTCCATATATTACCCTGGTGTTATGATATGAAACATAGATCTATACATTTTATGTCTATAGTTTGTTTTATGCCTAAAGTCCTATATAATGTGATGAACTACATGGTGCATGACTTTATTTGACTTCTTGATGACATCACTTGTATGAAATCATATGATAGGGCCATTTTTTGATCAATATCGGCTCCTTAAGGCTAAATTAAAGGTTCAGTGTGTAGAGTGCAGTGACATCTAGTGGTGAAGTTGCAAGTTGCAGCTGTAAACCCCTCACCTCACCCTTCCCTTCCAAACATGAAAGAGAACCTGTGGTGGCCTTTAGTTGTCATAGGAACTCAAAAGATGTTTAGTGCGTCCATTCTGAAAAACATGGACCTTTAAAGATGTAAGATATAATTTTTGTTAGAGGAATGATTATCAGTTTCCCTTATGTTGGGTTGTGATGAGATCAGAAGAGAAAATAAATATTTAAAAAGGGAAACACATTTTCAAAATGTATAGCAGGGGGGGTCTGTGGGAGTAAAACTAATGTCGACAGGTCAAATTATGTTCATAAAACCAGATTTAGAATTGATAAACTACATAACTGCATAACCTAACTTAACACAACATATTGTCTTGATTTCACTCCAACAGGCTGAGAAAACAGCGGATCCAGAGAAAGCAGCAATGTTTTTAAGACAGGCAAGAAAATTAAGCATCTGGTCCATCGCAGTGTGGCTTTGCTGTTTGGCCTCAATCCCCGTGCTGCTGGCGCTGGTCTCATATCTTGCAACTCTGAAAAACTGATTGACTTTGTTCAACCTCTATGGACAATAACAGACAGAGTGGCTCTTTCTGACTTTGGACAGTGGACTGGGTGCTCATGCTATAAAACACGGAGACGTGAAGAAACTGGTATTTACATGCAACACAAAAGGAAACACTGCTATAGCTTTTCGTGTGTTGCTTTCCAGGTTTCCTTCTCTGCTTCTGCTTATACATCCTCATATTTTACACAAAGAAACCACTCAAGAAAATAGTGTTAACAATTTAGCTTTTCTTACACGCTGAAATATTTATTTAATATATATGGACAAATCGAAATCACCATACAAAATTTAACATTGCTGATAGTTTGAGACATGAAACAACTTGACACATATATCAAAGATTAGAAATTCCTAAGTAATGACCCAATCCTTAATATTTTAATTGCAATTACAATTTAACACTCATAACAAACGTATTGATGGAGGACTGGGTCTGTTGTAAATATGAAAAGGCAGAGATCATGGCAGTGCTTCGTCAGAACATTAGGAGACCCTGCTCTTGTTGTACCAACATTATCTTGGCATTATTGCATTGTAAGTGTATTAAGTTTATTAATATTGAATGTATCAATATGCTGTACCATATACATACATGTAACAGAGACAATTTTATAATAAAAATTACTAAAACTTAAGTGCTCTCCAATGTTTGAAACATCTTGATGTGCCCACCTAAGAAACAGCGACATTTACAAATACATATGCCTGCAAAACATGTATTTAAACAAAATCTTACAGTTAAGGCAACTTTATTTTAATTTGGCAGAAGAAAATTAAATTTGTCAAGAAGATACATTTGAAATAAAAATATAGACACCAGAAAACAATCCAGAGAGAACCACAGGTAATAAAAACACAATCAGCAGTGGAATCTGGACACTATTAACACTCTCTGGAGTGCTGATTTGCTTCCATGTTACATTTTATACAACAAAAACCTCTTCAGCCATAAATTTACAAACACAAATAATTGTATGATTGAACAGGGTCGGCCCTGAGCAGAATAAAACGATTTTACCAATTTGTATTCAGACTTCACAGAAACGTAGTTGTCAAATTGGTTTGCAGGGCAAAACAAATCTCTTGCTGGCATGTTTCAAAGTTATATTCAGCATTTAACTTTTAAAAATAGCTGCCTTTATAAAAGAACTTACAACTATGCTTCAACACCACTTCTTTAACAGACGGCTGCCTTTCAAACCAGACAGCGTTACAGTAATGTGATGAGGGAGGGAGGTTGTGCAGATTTGCGATGCTCTAGGTGGAAGTCTGAGATGGAGCAAAATGGAAAAAATACGGTGATACCATACACGTGCTTACATTGAGAATACCGCGGAGGTAAAGTGGCGGACAGGGGAAACGGACGGTAGTAGTTTGAGTGCTATAATGACGATAAAGCTACTTACTGTATAATGCGTTAAACCAGCATGTTGATAACTTCTGGGATGAAATACATTTATGGTGCTATGACTTATTCTTCAAATTGCAGGCTACATCGTAAAGAATAAAAAATGCCATTCTTCAATAAAAACATGACACTACAACATTAAAACACTGATTGTGCTAAAAGACTCGCATGTGAATCTTCATGTTGAAAATACATTAGAAAGAGTCTTATGAACAGCACTGCAGTGACTTTTTAAAAAGATGTAGATGCAGCTGTCTTTCTCTCATCATCATGTATCAACCACAACTTCAGCTGATCCAGCTTGGCACAGAGTAGTGAGTCCACATCCTGCACACTGAGGGATGGCTCGTCTTTTGTGAAGCCCCCTCGTCTCGTCCTGGAAGATGAACTCGTGGCCTTTCCCACACCAACTAGCGGCCTCTTTGGTTTTCTGGCTTCACCAACCTCCAGGAACTCTAAAAAGCGTTTGAAACGTCTCTGGCCAAACCAGGACTCGGAACCATTCCGGCGATTGAGAGGCACCTCGAATATGGTCTCCAGCCGGCTGAAAGACGGGACATATTCCATTCAGTGAGTCAGTACAGCAAGTTAAGGGACACAAATGACTAATGATAATGAACAAATTACATTTATTAATTTCCAATACAGAGTATGTTGCCAGGTAAGTATGCGCTGATGCACCTGCCGCCCCCTGTTCACTAAGGACTGTGAAACTGTAACTGTGTCCCAAATAATACTGCAGAGGTTCCTTAATTCCTGTTAGCTTATCAAAAAAGGTATGTTGCTTTCTTACATATCATCTGCAACAACTGTGTACCTATATAAAGATTAGAATAAACAGATCAGAACATGATAGGTGCAGGGTTGTGACCAGAAAAATCTGGGTACTTGCCCCTCCCTCGATACCATCGCTGAGGTGCTGTTGTTTAGCACAGCTGCTCAGCAGGTCAGACTGGTTGTACACAGCAAATGCCCCCAGCTGTGAATGTGTGTAACTGCACAAACATTCTTGCATTCTTCCCACAATAATTATATTTGAAATAACAGAGTACGCTGTATACAGTTCCAATTCGCAGACTAATTGGGACCATTTGTCATTAATTCATCCGACGGTGTTATTTTGGGCCTTCTAGTGAGGATAAGGGTCATTTATTGTTCTTTGAAACCTTTTTGTACAATGTCATACATTTGCAGTTTGTGTAATTAAGTTTTAATTCAATTTATTTAAACACACTAAATGTCTGAAAGCAAAAATGGTTGTGCCTTTTTAAGATTTCACTTGATGTGTAGAAACACAGCATAGAGCCATTGATAAAGTTTTACTCTCCCAAAGTCTAAAGGGAAATTGGGGTGAAGATGAATTTCATGTGGATCAACTGCATATATTTAAGAATGGACCTTTAAAAAAGGAGTATGTGTCCTCCATGTGCATCATTCAACCTGCACGTGTCTAATGCTGAGCTTACCTTTCGGGGGGTTTGCTGAAATTCTTATTGGTGTAAATTTCTTCCAAGCTGAACTCTTTCTTTTTCAGCCTGTAGTGGAACATAATGGAAATCTATCAGTCTGAGTATTGATCAGAAAGTATTCAATGGAAAACAGACATGTATTGACACTGACAAAGATTCACTTTAAAAGGGTAGGTCAGAGAGTGATCCATTAGGAGCTTGTCCTACTTTAATGAGTTAATTTGCTAATATGAAGCAGAGGAGAGACTCAGGCTAAAGGGAGCGAGTGTAGAAAATGGGACTTTGTTTTAAATGATCTAACCACTTAAACACAAGAGGCTGCATCTTTAAACCCCATATTAACCAGTGCACGCTTTGTGTAGGACCCAGTGTTTGTTTATAAGTAAAACAATCTAGGTTACATTGCCCAAGATTTTCCATTTTCCAAATGTTTCTTTTTACATGTGAGTTATGATGATTTATCTTGCTTCCCTCAGAATTTGCCATGTTAGCTTTTTTACAGATGTGTCTGAACTTGCTTCTTGCACTTATGGGGCAGGGAGGGGTCAAAAAGTAAGTGACATCCACTTTATTTGTTGACTTGACAACAATGAGCACCTTTGGTAAACAGAAGTGGATCAGAAAGGAAACACAAACCGATTTAGAGCAACTGAAATGAGTATTTGCAGAGAGACCTTTACAGGAACAAAGAAAATTGAGGAAGGGTGGGAATACACTTGAAAAAAGTGATGGAGGGGGATAATGATGATGGTGATAATGACTTACCGATGTTTCACAAAGTGTGTAAACCCAGAAAAGGTTTGAATGTAATTTGTAATGTTTTATTATTTATCACACATTGTCCTTAAGTTAAAAAAATGAATATGGAGTACATACCTGATGGGTTTGGGTAGGCCCATGGGTGTCAGGTTATTCTGAGGTTTGGGTAAAGTTTTCCGAATTCTGATGGATGAAACCTTCCCTCGTTCCTCGCGCTTTTGCACCACCTGTGATAAAATAAAAGATCATAAAACTGAAAATATTCTTGTTGACAGATATACTATGGAACAAGTGTGGCATCTACAGTAAAACAATGGGCAAGGCTTATGTGTAAAAAATCAAATGTGCTATAGAAGCCTCTTAGTTACAAATTGTTGTTCACCAGCAACATAATAACGTTTTCTCTCAATGAACCACTGTCGATCTCTACATTCAGACCTCAATATCTAATAATAATTCAATACTATTAAGCTGTCATTCATTTCTCTTATCTCCAAACAATAACTTATTACGATTACTGATATTTCATCCAACCTCATCTCATTCTTATTTTACAAAATGTTGTTGACAAAGTACAATTCAAGTTATACAATTTAGGTCAGGATTTGACACGAATCTTGATAAATATTTAAATATAATCACACTTCCCATCGATACGTTTTTAAATATGCAAACAAATGTGCACGTTTACAGACAGAGGAATAAAGGAATCCACGGGGATTGAATATAAAATCATACAGTCACACCAGTCATGTGAGAATGTCTTATGCTAATGTAAATTAGTACATACCTTGATCTCAGAATCAGACAGAGCCTTTTCCTCTCTTAACCCAACATCTTCATACTCGTGACTGGATGAACTTGTGTCTTCACCATCGTCCTCCTCCTCACTCTGTTGTCTCCTCTTAGTCTCACACTCCAGAGGATTTCCACTACAAATAAAACCAGAGACCGTTTGAGTCTACCTGAGAATCATTTGCATTATCATGAGGTATCTTGTTTTTAGAGATTTTAAATAGTGTGTTACCTGATACAAGAATCCAAGGTAGCAAGAGAGGAGTCGTTTCTTTGAAGGAATCCTGGAAGGTGCCTTGTGGAGGAGCCCACTGGGGACGTCAGCAAAGAGGAGATGGGAGAGGAAATGTGACAGGAAGTGCTGGGGCTGGCAGCGGCTCCTCTGCTGTCAACTTTCTTGGATAGGAAAGCCAGTGGGCTTGAGAGGAAACAGGACGCAAGAACAGAGAGGGAAGTGCTGGGAGAAAGTGTGGCACAAGGGAAGTGGTTGACGCTGTCATACTGGGCAGACCTTCTGGATGGGTACACCTCCTTACGAAGACATAAGGGAGCGATCTCCCTCTCCACCTCTATGCTGCAGACTGTGTGGCGGCGAGCTCGTCGAAGGAACTTGTTGGTGTGAGGGACAGAAGGGGTTTGGGAAGACTGATGCTGGTGGGACGAGTGAGTCCTGCTGTGATGTGGGGAATGCACGGACGTCGTCCAGGGCGTGTCACAGAGGTGGAGGGAGAGGATCTCTGGGCACGAGTAGCTGCGCAACAGGCCCCTTGTGAAGTCATTTTCTGACGAGCGAGTACCCCCTGTAACCAGATCTGCATCCTCCATTGTGATGGAGTTAGTCATCTCTTCACCTTTACGTGTCCTACTTCGCAAAACTCTGCACCTTCTCCTCTGGTTATCTGCTCTCCTTGGCTTAATGTTAACTCTTCCTGTACTCAACCTTAATCTAGAGACACTGACGCTGCAGCGATTACTGGCTTCAGTGGGAGAGAGCAACACCTCATCTGGCACAGGAGGACTCTTTGCACCGCCGTCTGTGAATCGCTTGACCCTTTTATTTAATTGTACGAAACACTCTAAATGAGACTGAGCGAAGGAAGAATCGGGTTGGGGATTACATTCAAAAGGCGTCATTTCAAAATACACTGGGTCCACTGTGCTTTTTCCTTTGTCGCCTTTAGACTGGCAGTCTTTGGTTATCAAATGAAGGTTATCAAAACATTGCTTTGACTCCTGGGTCTCACTTGACTCAGAAGATTTAACAGCACCTCTATAAGCCTTTTTGGGTCTTTCACTGTGACGGTTCAGTCCTGTTTTCAAGATCTCCTCCCTATGAATGGGCGGAGAGGCTTTAGAATCTGTGGGTGTGAGTTCAAAGGGCACCACTGATTGTATTGACAGGTTAGAAACCAAAGTGCTGTCTGATTCTGTCTTTGAACTCGCCTGGATTGGCGATTTCCGTTTTATTGGTTTTTTGGTTGTGTTCCTGCACTTGCTCTGAAGCTGCTTTTTATCAGGATGGATGAAAACGTCGGAAAGCGGCTCTAGCTGCCCTTGTCTAGTAGAGGTGATTGCCACAGTGGATTCCAGATCCATACTGTCAATGTTCACATCAGGTTTACCATAACCTGACCTTGTTTTAAGTCTTTTGCATGAGTCACTGGGCTTCGTCCTGCTGCTGCCATTTTGGTGATTCTCTGACACACAACTGCTTTTATCCAGTGAACAAACCAACATAGCATCAGGGGAGTTTTCCATCTGTGTGTTTGACATGGCTTCATTTATCACAGGAAGCATTTCTTGTCCAACCTTTCCTTTCCTATTTGCTCTTGATGATGCAGCCTGTCTTTTTCTAAGAGGCTTCAGTGTTTCTTCCCCGTCTACAGTGGTATTCATTAACCCAACTTCCTTCCTTGTTGGTCTCAGCCCCCTTAATATGCCATTCTCTGCAACCACCTTTAAAGACTTCTGGTTTTTTATATCATCTGAACACGTATAATCCTTCAGTTTTTTCCTCTTCACCGTTTCTTGAAAAAGTTTCAGCCCCCTCTTTGAGCGCCCAACACCTGCAGCTTCAACAGTGTCAGGGTTTATCTGACTTTCCAGCTGCCGAGTTTCTAACGTGGATTTCAGTGTCCTTCCAGTAGCACTGTCATTCAAGTTATTAAAGAGGCTTTGTCTCTCCAAGCTGCAACTTTCAATGTTCGTAATATTATCATCAGGCTGAGGACTGTTTGTGTCAAGCTGACAGACGGAAGAAGATGACAACTGAGTCAAGTCGGCTTTGTTTGATTGGACTGAGCTTCTTTGAGAAAGCTGCTCGTCACTGACCTCTGGTTCTGACTGTTCTTTTTTGACCTCCCATGTTAAAGGCTTGGAGATAACTTTTTTAAATTCAGATCTATTTCCTGTGCGTTTTCTGAGCAGTGGTTTTGGACGGACAGCCTGTTTTCCTTGCACCTCCACTGCACTGGACGTCTTCAAAGTGGATTCATGTGAGGCACTTAAAGTGAGGGAGGCCTGCGACAGTGTGGAGCACCTGACGACTGACCCAACAGATTCTAAAACTTGTTTAGAGACACTGCAGGTTCCGGGAATGTCTTGCAAAGGCCCAGAATCAGGCAAGTTTTTTTCTGTAAGAGTTATTGCACATTCTTCTGCCTCTTCAGAGTTGTTCATGTCAAACATTAATTTTCTTGAATATTTAAGGGAGCTGGTTGGCACATTTTGTGCAACTTCTTCATTACTAAGCCTCTGTTGATAAACTTCATCCTCCTGATTCCCAGTCTCACTTTTTCCTATTGGCTGAAACATGTTGCTCAGCTCATCATCGGATGTTCCGTCTGCTCCGTGGTCCATGGACAGCGGGGGACTATTAGCTCTGAAGAGTTTAACAGGACTCATGACGATCTCTGTGAAACTGGCCATCTTCGACTTGAATGACTGAAACAATGGCCCGATGACCCACCCCTTTGGGGCAGAGACATCTTCAACAGCATGTTCAACAGCCAAGCCCCCCCATGAACCCATGTCAGATTTAGAAGCATCAGGATTCTGTGTGGTGTTGTCAGCCACCTGCTCGACTACATTTTCTGCAACAGAGACTTTTGGTTCATTCCAGGAGCTTTTCTGGTCTTTTTGTCTACAATAAAAAAGGAGAAGGGGAAGAATAGTCATTAACTTAAAAAAATAACAATAACATTATTCACAGTTCCAATATTGATATATGTGCCGTGACAGATACAACATAATATACCAGCATTAATTATTAAAATGCATTTATTTTGTAGAGTAACTTATTTTTCCTCAGGTTTATTAAGAGAATTGTTGTAATTAATTTAATGGAAGATAGAGTAAATACAATAGATAACCTGTAATGTACAGTAAACATGATCAAGACATTTGTGGTCAGTATTCAGCTGTCCTACTATTAAAGTGGACACTGATGAAGACAAAGTAACACATGCCCCTATGTTTTTGTTTACCCACAATCAGCAAGGAGCTGAATTCAATCAGATTTGAGTTTATAGTTAAGGCTAAGATTAGTGAGTGTGGCAGTGGGTAGGTATGCCGCTGAATTCAATTAAATTCAAATAACTATGTTTATCCATCTCAACAACATACAACACACAGCATACCACACACAACATCAACAGTAGTGAGTGCATCTTATAATTATAGTATGATAACTGTAAAATTAAAAAACAGCGATGAAATGAATAGATCAACCACAGATGAGTCTGATGAATGTAAGCACAAAACCAGTCACACTACGCAGACTCTCCATCTGACATAATCTCTTTGAAGGACGATGTGAGTCAGTAACAGATCAGCACATTTAACATTTACTTCTGCTCCCTGTGTTAATGTTTCAGGTTGAAGTGCTGCTTGTGAACACTAACACTGCTGAGGCGTGACGTATTACGAACACGTTGTATATCTGAGTTGAATTGATCAGCCCCATTGTCAATGATGCCCAGCTATTTAAGTCAGTACTGGACCAATATCCAATAACAGTGTCAGATCAGTGCTTCCATAATGAAAGCATCGATGTACTGTGTCAATACAAGAGTGAGAATCTGGCTTCCTAATACTCACAAGTTCCTTGTTCATGAAAACCTTCAACAATATGAATACGTTGACTTAGCTTTTTTGATCATGGGTCAGAATCAAACCATGTCTGCACCACAGTTAGTCACAGTCATGAAAGCCATTCAACTATAGTTCCTCATTCACCATTATTACGAAATCAAACAAATAAATATCTAGACCTTTTAAATAAACATAATACTGAGCCGTTTCTCCACATAAATAACAAATTAGCCGTCACACACTTACGGGTTTTGGTGCTCTGCTGCAAGACTAATATCAAATCCATCCTGCAAAATAAACACAAACATTTCAAAAATTCAGTTTTCTACGAACAAGCATTATAAACTCATTATCCAAACCTTGTTCATAAAAAATTAAGAAAGCACACAATCATGATTACTGGGAAATTGTTCAAATGCCCCTGACATATTTATTTTTGCCTCGTCGCAAATTTCCCTTTTACTCCTGTTCAGATGTGTGGCACTCAGTTTGGTGCTAATTTCAGCCAAATTACACAATTATCCATTCAGTCATTTGTGAAGGTTCTTGTACATAAAGCTATTATAGCTACTGCGTTGTCTGATCAGGACAGAGGAGACAATGAAGATACTTTCGTATCTACAGTCTGTGCGTTAGTAGGTCACATACTCGATTGCTTGTCTGTGTCAGATGCAGCAGACCATGAAGGAGGATTAAAATCACTCAATTAACCCTCACACCCTGCTCACTGTACTGGTCACCAGTGTTGCCATACACAGGCCTATGTTAAAGCTGCTGCACAAACAGATTAGACACTATCAGCCTTATAACACCAGAACAAACTCCATCAAGTGTATGCAGACAGACATTAAGAAGGAGATTGAGAACCTAACAGGGATACAGCAAGGGTCTATGAGAGAACGTCAAGCAGGGAATGATAAAACTGACCTTGTTTTGTTTCTGATATACATGTGTGCATTCTACTTTCAGCTGCTTGGACTGGGACACTTGCACCTGCAAATCAGAGAGAGGCACAGGCAAAGCATGAGCAGTGACTATTATTACTCAAGAAAGTCTAAAAAAAATACTTAAAATTTGTTTTAAGTTAAACTTCTACCATGCTTCCACTCTCTCTTTGTCTCTTGCCGGGGGACGGACTCTGTCTAGATGTTTGCGGAGTCGCTTCACCATCTGAGGTGCTCTGCTTTTTAGGTGTTTGAGCTCTGTTCCCTTGAATACGACCACTCCTCCTGTGTCCAGATATTTCATCATTCGTACAGCTGGAGGGATTTTTGACAAATCTTTTAGTCAACATGGAGCATTTCTTGTTTAATATACAGCGAGAGGAAAAAGGCAGAGCAGTAAGTGTCAGGGATGCACGATGCATCAGTATCAAAAAAAGCATTTTTCAATATCAAAGCTTGAGACGACATATACTGAGGCAATATATGAGAAATAAATACAAGTAGTAATAATGTTAAAGATCATTGCTACCCAACCGTAAACTAATAAGGTTCTAATAGTAGATTCTGCCACTTGAATATTTAAAAAAACGTTTCTTCAGCTGAGGTGGGGCTATCAACTGAACATGGACCCTTTACAATGTCCTTTGCTTTTTGTATAGGTTAGATAGTTTGTGATAAAGGAATAAAGTAGACATAATAATTTTACGATTAAATGTTTTATAACACTACATCCAAACAACATTTTCAAATTTAAACAATCTTTGTCTACCCCTGGAAGGGATCATGTGATAGGAGCCTGATGAATCAACAAGGGTTACGTCTTGACCAAAAAGACCCAATCAGCAAGTGGTACATGTCATAGTTTCCTCCAGACTAAAAAAACAGTCCCTGAGTTTTCAAACTAATACAGGTACTATTAAACAGGCACTATTTCCAAACTTCTCTGTTTTAGCAACTCTAAAGCTCTGTAGTAGTGTGGATGCCAGGTGTATCTGTAGCAAAGTCGATGCGTTTTCAAATTAAAAGATAGTGGTGTGCATGTCGCCAAATATTTGTAATGAAAATTTCCATTGTGTGTCCTACTCACAGGTGTTTGCAATCCTAACCACATATGTCCATAAATTATTTATTTATAAAAGCAAGAAGGGGAAAAATACACCGACAGCAAAGGAAAGCAAAAGGTGCCGGGACAACTATACCTGGGAGTGACGGAGGAAAGGGGGAGGAGAGGTGGTGGAGGTTCACTGTGGGGAGGTGCACTACAGAAAGGATTGTGGGGAATGGCATCTTCATCCATTGGACAAACTATCTGAGGGAGCAAGTCAGTGGGATAAGTCAACATTCCTGTGCCCTTGCCCTCTCTCTTTCTCCTTCTCTGGCTTTCTCTGCAAATAACAACAATAGAAAAAACAAACATGCAAGGTATCATATCAATGTAAAAGTACTTCACAATAGGTCTTAATGATTAGGCTTCACTTACTTGTATGGCCTTTGGGATGGATGTTAATTCTAAAATGAAGAATAAAACAGAATTTCTTGATGGTTTATTTTTCAACATTCACATGTAAAATAACCAGGGTCTTATCGATTGACTATCATTGTTTTGTAAAGCTCCAAATGACCTGTCCCAATGTTGTTTATACATCAACAGTCCAAGAGCCAAAGATATTCAGTTTACTGTCACATAAAACACACAAAAGTAGGAAATGCTCCTAATTGAGGGGCTGGAAATTGGGAGGGGTTTGCCATATGTGCTGAAAAATGATTGATTGATTATCAAAATAGTTCCACATTATTCTTTCAAATTTAAAGAGTGTTTTTTGCTAGACCTGTGAAGTGAAGGTCGTAGTTTTAAACTCTTCTTGCTGACAAACACTTGATAAACAGCAAATCAATTTACAAATCTGAGGATAATTAGTTAGTGCATTATACATCCTCACTGTGCTTCACAATGCATAAGCAATATATCAATATATTGAACCTTTGTTATATTGATACTGATGAAAATCAAATATTGATAGTTAATAATATTAATCATGTGCCAAGTCCTATATGTTACAAAGGCTGGAAAAACAAAGAATTAAGATAAAAAATAAACATTAATGGCACAATACAGCTGCTAAAGTGTACTTATGGGACCATTCTTGGGGAATTGAAATCATATTGATATAGACACATAGATATTCAATTTAATGAGCATAAGTGTGTTTCATTAAGTTGATAAATGATCTTATTCCTAAAACAATTGATTGAATTACATTTACGACTAGCCAAGATTGTTTGCTAATCACAGTCCACGGTGTAGACTGAAATATGAAACTAATAATCAGTAATAATCCCTATCAAAACAGTAATTCGCTCAGGAGGCAACAGCATGAGATGTTTTGGATTTAAGCAGCGACTGAGGTCATTGTCACATCATCAGCCTGGGATCACTGGAGAAAATTTAGCTTCATCTGTTAGCTTTGCTCACTAACCTGACTCATAATAGCCACACACATCTGGTTCAAGCTCATTTCAGTCGGTTCAGTTGATGTTTTCACAAGATGTGGCGGTTTGACCCAGACTGAGCGGGGTCTACTTGCTGGAGTAGACACCGTTTCACATTCAAAGTTTTAGAAAGGAGAGTGCACGTTAGCAACAGGACATGTTACTGTGAGTTGCACAGCGGACTTTATAAAGAAAAAGCACGAGCCGTGTGTTTTGTTTAGCTAGCAGAGCTCCACTGTGACGCCCCGCCAACATCGCATGGTTTAGCTAACGCCGACATTCACCGTCAATGTACATACAATTTCAGAGCCAGGTAGTAGCCGTAGCCGGGAGCTGTCATTCCTCCCAGCGTCCAAACGCCTTTTCGGGAGAAAGCGAGTCTAATCTCAGCCCGTGGTGAAACCACACGAGTGTTTTAAATGAGACCCACACTGAACAAACTCACCGGAGCCGCTGAGCTGGGCCGCGGGGTCGATCCTCACCGTAAACAAGACATGTCGCTCGGCGCCCTGCAGGGACTCTGATGAATCCGTTTTACGAATCCAACCACCAGTCACACGCATCAGCCAATCACAACGCGATCCCGCTTTCCGCCTGTGGAAATGTGACCAATCAGAGAGGACACCGAGGGATCGTAGGCGGAGGTCGGCCAATAGGAGCACGAAGACTTAAAAGCTGGTAAGAAATGTGGTCTTCCGCTACGTCCCCGGATGACCCAGTATCTTAAGAGACCTCCATTAGATCAAGTGAGTGAAATGATCGAGTCAGACTCCTCAGGGGCCCCACACCCCAGGATGGACTTCTCAGGGACCCCACACCCCAGGATGGACTCCTCAGGGGCCCCACACTCCAGGATGATCAACAGAGTTTAACATGTGTTCAATACAATATCAACTATGATCCTCCATATTGAGCCAAAATCACTTACTGCTGCATCCTGGTTATTCATTATAGTTTGTTTTTTTAAATCAAATTCGTTTTAGTATGTAAATATGTCAAGTAACCTACAGCAAGGTGAGTTTTTCCATTATTAATGAAATATCATCATTATCCATATGTCCAAATATGACTTTCTCTAGTAATTTACACATTGATCAGTCTATACAATTTCAGACAGGAGTGGGAAAATCATTATGTGATGGGTTTTCAGTCAAAAACCTAAAATGTTATGTTAACTGTTACAGAAAGTTCAGAGGCCACCAAATATTCACATTTAAGATATGTATATGACATAGTTTTTGGGGGCCATTTTGTTTAAAAATGACATAAGCAAATTACTCAATCATCACCAATTACTTTATTTTCAATCAACTAATCAATTGGTTGACTAGAAATTTGTCCAGATTGAATTATAGATATATATCTTTGGCTAAGGCTACCTTTAAAGAACAGTATGTAAATTGGATTGGCTTAATATTTTATAAAAATAAAACAAATTCTGATAGTCCTTGTAGGAAACACTGATGTATCAGTATCTACATGCAAAGAAGTTATAATCTAATAAAAGTGGTATATGAAAATCTGAAGATGTGAGAATTTTACTCCGCTGAAAACATATGGTAAGGTTTATATACAGTAGTAGCGTCTTTTCCTTATACCAGTGTAAGTACCCAGTCATAAATACTTTATAATGGCAAAATAATTATTTAAAAAATCTTTCAAATATAACTGAGAATGTGATGTCTTGGTGGAATGGACATATAAACTATTAGAATTAAAGAAAGAAGCTGAATGGCAGATAGCAACACCACATACATGAATCATTTATTTAAAAACGACATAAAGAGGCTCCTGTTTAAACGACAGATCTGACGCCACAGCCCTGGATAAAAGCTCAAAGCAGGAGAATTCAGTGAAACGTGAATGCTGATTCGATCGTCACGGTTGTGCCAGTTTGATGGTGGACATGAATCATGTATAGAGCTCAAAGTCCAGTCTCTTGGAGTTGTACCACTGAGATCCCTCCTGGTCGATCCTCCTACAGTAAACGCCGCTGCTGAAATAGCCTTCATCCACCCAATCCTGCAAAACAGACAATAAGAAGATTAAAACCCATCGTCGGATTGAGGTTAAAGGTAGAGCCAGACTGCAAGCCAATAATCTAGTCATCTAACATAATGGGATTTACTCATGTTTGAAGGTACATTAGTTTGCAACTTTAAGCATTCATCATCACATTTAAAGCTTTTTAATATGTGACCTCTTTCCCAATTTTTGATCTGAACTCTACAGAATTGCAATCCACTGTTTTCTAATCTCCTTATTTCTTCCTCTGTAGTATATGTTTGATTGAGATGAAAAGCCAAGCCAAAAGAAATACTCTATATGAATTCCAACAAACATCTTGTGTTTTGAGTAAACAATGTACTCAAATTCAACAAGTGCCACAATCAAGTATATGCAAACAATATAGGTACGCATATTGAACTTGCATCTATTTTAAGTTTGCTGCTGCTGAACAATAGTGTCCCACATGCAAATTCTTGGTTTGGTAAACATAACCATCAGGCTAAGATTCGGACCAAATCAACTGGACAGAAACCAGTTTAAATTGGTCTATTTTTGGCATCTCATTCCCTGGACTGCTACTATAAGCCATTTACCTGACACTGATGGAAATCACATTTAAGAAAATCAACTAAGAAAATGAAAAAAGTCGTTGAGCTAATTTAAATGGTTAATGTCTTTTTTTTTTTAATTTTTGCATAGCTCAGCATCACATTTTTCTTTAATCTATGAAAGTCTATCTAAATGTATTATAACAGCATAATACAAAAAATGTAATATTAAAAGTGTTATTATCCTTATGACTTTTGGCCCTTGACTCCAAAAAGTAACTTTGCGTCTTTATTGTGACAGAAAACAATATAAATCACCTTTTTCCACAAAGGAAAGATACATTAGTTTGTTCTTTCTTCGTATTCTCTACGAACTCAAGAAAATATTGGTAGTGCAAGAAAATACCTGCATCTGCTGACTGGTGAAAGGTCCATAGACTTCTGAATCATCCTTATTCTCCCATTTGTACTCCCACATCACTTCATCAGTCACTGAAGGAGGACAACATTTAATTAAACAAAACAAGCATAATCTTGAAAGTGAAGAGAATCATACTCAAGTAACACTGTGTAACCTTTTCGGTTTTCTTCCTCCTCTTTGTCCTCTGATTTGCCGCCACGTGTCTCATCAAATTTATCTGCAAACATGTCAAGTTCGTCTTCCTCTTCATCGCCGCTGGATTTCTGCCCCACAGCTGGTTTCTTACCACCCATGCTTTTCATCAAATAGGCCAGTTTTTCATATGTTTGCTGATAAATTTCGAACATCCCAGATCCCACTAGTCTGTCAGCTAATGCTGTGAGCTTATCAAGCTTTTCTGCATCCCTTTTGGTCTCCTCTGTGGGTTCGCTCTCTTCTCTCAGCTTTCCCTTCTTCCTTCCTTTAAGGCCTCCTAACCGACGGAGCGCCGTGGCAACTGTCTCCCCGGGTAGCAACAGTTCGACCACAGCTTCTGTGAGCTGATGCTGAGTGTAGGATGCAAGGGGGTCCTCAGCTGGCTCCATCTCCTCCTCCTCCTCCTCTTCCTCATTTTCTCTGTCAGCCTGCTGCTCCTCTCTCTTTTTCTCTTCCTCTGCCTCATCCTCGTCACCTGCTCTGCGTTTGCGTTTTGCTGCAAGACCTTTCTTCTTTTGCTTGAAAGGTTGTTCTTTTATTCTCACCTGGAGAAAGGAACAGATGTTATTGCAGATTGCTTGGAAAGTTTTCAAACATGATGATATAGTGCCCAGGATGTCGTTACCCAGTCAATGTTGTCAAGCCAGTTGTCTCTAATCTGTTCTTCCTTTTTGACGAAATAGTTTCCCTCTGAGTCAAAGTGTCCTTCCTGCATCTCCTCATCCAGGTTGAAAGGTGTGATAGACACACCCTCGTCGAAATCGATGGTTGCTCCCTCTTGCCCTGAAAACAAAGATAATTAAGGAAATAATAATTAAGTTAAATAAGACCAGCTCTTGATATGTAGCTTTATAGTTACAGAAGGAATAATTAACAGGACGTACCCTCCACATCATCGCTGGCCAGAATATCATATTTGCTGCTGCTGCTTTTATCTTCACCTTCATCCTCTTCATCGCTATCAAGGGAATGTTTACCCTTGAATCTGGAGCCTGGTCCAGTGACGACCTCACAAGTCTTGTTCAACAGGAAAAGAAAGATAACAAATATTAAATGTAACCATCTGATGATTGTTTTGACTCGATTGATTTGAAGATATCACGTGGATCCATGTGACAATTACAAACCAACAGAATGATAGCCTTCTAGATAGCTGTGTCAATAGGCCAGGTTATATCATTGTCTCTATCACAGGTTCTCTTTCATGTGTGACATATTTGAAAAACACTTGCTAGCAACATAGCAGATGTGGCGCTGGTATTCAGACAGGGGTGGACATCACTTGTAAGGCAGTGTTTTGGCTCTGCACATTCTGAGACTACTCAAAGGAAATCTATCTGTAAACTATGTTGGGCAACAGTCAATCAGAAATCAGAATCAGAAATACTTTATTGATCCCAGGGGGAAATTGTGTTTGTTACAACTGCTCCAAGTGAAAGGTAGAAATATAGCATATAAGATTAAAAATAAAAATATAATAATGTGAAATATATACAATATTGTGCGTACTGTACATTGGATATTTAGTGCAAATGAATGTGCTTGTAATGACTCCAGTCTGTTGAGTCTGATTTATTTAGAGGGAGGAGTTGTATAGTTGAATGGCCACAGGCAGGAATAACTTCATGTGGCGCTCTGTGGTGCATTTGATCTGATTCTTGCACTGAACGTGCTCCTGTGTTTGACCAGCACGTCATGGAGAGGGTGGGAGACATTGTCCAGGACGGTGTGTATCTTATGCAAACACTTCTAGAAACAATAGAACAATTCTATTGAACCACTTTATAACAAAGCAACATGCTGAGAGTGTTTCAATTAGGTTGATACAACCCCACTCAGTTATCACTGACCAAAGCTTTAGAGCAGATGGAAAAGGGTGAGCGGTCACATTCTATATAGCTAAGGATATGGTGGTATTGGTTTCGATTCTTTGGATTAAAGACAGTAAGATGAATATTTAATGTAATATTGTGTTTTAAATTAGATATACACACAAATTCATCAGCTGGTTTAGTCTGGATACTCTTGACATATCATTTCAAAATGAATTAGTCATAGTTTACGTCATGGATCGCGACGTGGTATAATCTTTGTAATGTGTACAAGACATGCAAGTAGAGCACATTGTCAAGTTAGATCGATATGACGTGAAAGTGTTTACCTCAGGTCAACTTTTTAAATCATGATTTTACATACACTGTAGTGCAACCTATCTTAAGAAGTATATTCTTAGGTTCACAGAAGCAGTTCCCTTAGGAGGCTACAAGATGTGTTTTGGACTCATATCTGACAAACGTATGGGGCTATACAATGGATCTTGTGCATGAAGTTAATTGCAGCTTTTAACCGTCATATGAAATTGTAAGTTCACTTATCAGATATAAAGATCAAACTCAATAACGTAGCTACAATTCTAATAGACAGAAATCGGTGAAACAATTTGCAGGATATAAATATGTTAAAAATCCCCGTTGATTCTGCTCGACATTTAAAACACAAAGATCCTGAGTTTACCATTGAAACATAGTAACACCTGATCGGGACGCAGTTACCTTTTTGTTTGGGAGTTCTTCCTCCAGTTCTAACTCTCCGTCCCCATCCTCAAACCGAACTTTCCTCTTCGGCATGATGCTGCAGGACACAAGACAACGACTCCTTGAATGTTTGAACGTCACGTAGCGTGAGCTGCAGCGTCAGTGCGTAGATTTCACTGTAACGTTTCCACACACGATTCTTCAAACGTCGTGAATATGAGCGGTAAACAGTGACTTAGCTCTGTGGCTAAATGTTAGCATACAACAGCGCACGCAGAGCGATCACAGTATTTATCACTGTCTCACACGTCTAAACATTGCGTGTCAAACTCCTGGACATAACAAGTGTAAACATAAAATAAACAACAAGTATAAAATGATATTAAGCAGTAAAACGTGCCAGAACCTTTTCAAAACAATTCAGGCCAGCCCTCGTTTTAGTTTCTTCTTCGCTTGTGTTGTTCTTCTTCGCTTGTGGTAAACGTCAGTAATGGTTGACAAACAGCGGCATGGAGATTTGCTGCCACCATCTGGTGAGGAGTTAAATGGAAGTTCATGCAGGCGTCTCCTGAAATGGAGAAAACTGAGAATATAAAAAGACTGTAACCGATATCTTAGTCAATCGATATTTATATTGATAATTATAATAGTAATACATGCTTTACAGATACACGGAGAAGAAAAACGGCCAGATAATGTTAAATAAAAGTAAAAATAATACATAAATATAGAAACAGAGATTAAAACATAACTCCAGAGGAAAAAAACATATTAAAACTGTTTACGAGAATGCAGTTCAGGGTTTTCTACTATTCTTTGTTGTGATAGGAGCGTTATTATCTTTGTTAATCAGAAAATAAAAGTTGTAATACCACTGGAAACTCTATATTTTGTTTCTACTTTTTCTTTTCTCTTTTTTTCTTTAATTATTCAGGAAAGCATTCAGAAATAAAATTACTGTAATTAGAAACAAGTATCTATCGGTTCTATGAATGTTACCGTCTAATTGTCAGTCTCATTTGTTCGTAAACTTGTTGTTTCATATCTTGAATTGGATGCCTGACCAAAGTCCATGACAGACATATCTGTATTATGTTTGTTTTGATAAACCTCAGATGCAGAGTGCAGGAATTCAAAACCTTCTCCTGCCTGAATACATGCGTTGTCTGGAGTTTGATTTTAGCACCTGATTCATACTGTGGGGATGCACTGTATGAGAAGGGCCCCACAGTCATGTAAGGAAAGGCCTTGTGAGTCTTAACACTTTGGACTCTTTTAGATTTCAAATTCCGTAAGGTCCACTCGGGTGAAAAGGATAAAAAGCTGCTGAGAATAGACTCAACAAGTTAAGGCACATTTTAAACAGGACATTTTCAAAATGTCTATTTGATTTTATTTGTTATTGACTCCAACATGTTTCTGGTTTAATATTGATACCAAATACTCATCATATTTAAAAACCTGTACATTTCACCTCTGAGTTCAAACACCACTCTGAGTCATGCCACATGCAGAAGTACTCAGATGACACTGCGATTGTGGGGTGTATCAGGGACGGACAGGGAAGAGAATACAGGAGTCTGGAGGAGGCCGAACCTTCTACAACTGAACACCTCCAACACCAAAGAAATGGTTGTGGACAATCTGCAGCCAGCCTCCATCGAGGGGGCTGATGTTGAGGTGGTCAGGAGCCGCAAATACCTCGGATTGCAGCTGCATTGTACACTGGACTGGTCAGCAAACACAGACACCTTTACAGGGACAGCTTTGTAGTTGTTCTGGTGGCTAGACTTTGTATCTGACTGCACATTATGTGTACTTATTCTTGACTTTTATTATTCTTATGCTCTAGTGTTTGACTGTTTTGTGTGCTACTGGGTGCCTGAATTTTCCTCGAGATCAATAAAGTATCTTTCTATCGATCTGAAGAAGGGACGTGTGCTCACACAATCAGATTTAATATAAAACACATTTGAAACCGACAAAAGTAACACAAATGCAGAAATGAGAGAGCTGTGAGTCGATGCATCGGACCTCAAACATGCAGCATCTCACTTCCAGGTAGCAGGTTGGGTTCAACTGCATGTGGCCTCTTCGGCTCAGAAGCACAGAGGAGAGAGCGTACGGTATAATGTGTCAGGATTTTGTTACCAGGAAATGGGTCAAGTTATTTATATTTCAACAGTCACAAGGGAGAAGTGTAAGTAACCTGAGACCACATAGTCAAGCATCGTCTGGATCAGCTCGTATCGAAGGGAGAGAAAACAATCAAGTCCACGTTTAGGAACGAGGAGGACGAGAAGAGAAAATCTGTAAATGAAAGTAATTGAAAGAATCTGAGGAAGAATAAGCATGTGAAGGATTTGACATACAAGAGGTAAGTCTAGTATCTATCGAATTTTCTATCTATCTATCTATCTATCTATCTATCTATCTATCTATCTATCTATCTATCTATCTCTGTGTCCTCCTATCTCTTGATAACCATGAAAAATATTATAAATTCAACAGAGAAATGAAATCTTCTTATTTGAAATTAGACTGATGATTTAAATCACTTAATTTTTTATAAACTATTTTGCAGTTGTTCTCAACCTAAGGATTGGGCCCCTCCAAAGGGTCACAAGATAAACATAAGGAGTCATGTTCTCATGAAATATTACATCATTTTAACTCTTTAGGGCTCAAATAATGTGGGGAAATTAAAAGTAATGTGTCTTTATTGGAACTGTGAATGACTCATCTGACATCTGAACCATTACAAGTCGAATATGCAAATAGACAATGCTTGTTGCATCTTGTTTTATAACAGTCAGTATCTTTCATGCAGTGTGACAGTGTGAATATTGGGGTTGTTACAACCACCCCCCTCTACATTACACCCTAGATTGTATCTTATCAACTTTGTCAAAACCAATAAATGTATGTTTGAAAAAAAAGCTTTGTCACAAAAATTGTAAACTAAGATTCAAAGGATTCTCTTAAAAGATATGTATCAAAAAGTGAAATACCTCCAAGTACACTGGTTGACTTTCCAAACACTGCAAACTCTTATTCAATGTAAAAATGTCCAAAGCAAAACAATTAATCAGAGAAAGTTGATGAAAATAAGATTCCCTTCAAGCATGTAGTTATTTTCGGCCAAACTGTAATTATATCTTGTAAATGTAAACCGTAAACAGTGTCTCATCTATAGGTGTTGGGATGAAGCTCCATGAGAAGATTTTGACCCACTATCTATCGTGCACGTCTCCTGTAGATAAAGAAGGATATCTCTACAAACAGGTGTGAGAAAACACAGAACACAGACAAACTGAAATGACTGATGACTGATCCACACGATAGAGAAAGTGTAACAATCCTATTTTACTTTGACGCACGTCTTTATAGAAAAAGCGCAATACCAGCTACCAGCGGCGGTGGCTAGTCCTGAAAGCAAACTTGCTCTTCTACCAGGAGCGTCCGGGTGATCGAAACCTGCTGGGGGTCATCGTGCTGGAGGGTTGTGCAGTGAGACGCGCCGAATGTGATGGACAGTTTGCCTTTTCCCTGATGTTTGAAGGGCCCGGACTGAAAACGTACACATTCGCAGCAGCAGATCGTCAGAGTCAGGAGAGCTGGGTGAAAGCTCTGCTGTCGGCCAGTCACTGTTACCTCTCCCTGCTTGTGAGAGACCTGAGGAGACAACATGAAGGTGAGATAGAAGAGTTGAGGCCTTCTCTGATTGCTGAGCCAAATAACTATTTATACATATTCAAGTTTCTGGATTTTTTTGTGCCTTTGAATGACATTTGTCCTTGACTGCTTACGTCTTATGCCTCTGCACTGGTGGCAGCCAGTGGCCAGAACCATTCTGTTTACATGTTGTCTGTCAAATGTGGACAAGTCAAAGGTGTGTGGATACGATACCTGTAGAACAACCATAGGGAATTTCATTACATCTGGCACAGAAGTTAAAGGTCAAGGTCACTATGACCTTAAAACATATTTTTTATCTTAACAATGCCTTGAGAGAATTCACAGGTATGAACATTAATTTTAGTTTGTACCGGACATCATCTCATTGTCTGTAGTTGCTCATTCTGTCTTAAACTGCTTTCTAAAATTATTTAAAAACCTGTTTTCTATCTGCAGAGGCTAAGCAGCAGCAAAGCTCTGGAGAACCTCATCTCCGCTCCTCTGCCCTCGAGCAGTCCAAGGCCAGCTTCCTCTTCCCTATGCGGGGGCCGACAGCAGCAGTGAGGGAGGGCAGAAGCTTCAGTGCCAGCAGTATTTTACAAACACCTTCAGTACCCAACAAAGTGGCAACTAAAAAGTCCCCGAAGCTGTGGTCCAGGAGAAATGCTCTCGTCACGCCGCTCAATGGGCCAGCGCCTTGTCACGGTGAATGGCCTTTGGTGGATTTTGATCCACTTGAGGACTTCAGCAAACTTCACGACTATTACGGCCAGGAGGTGAGGAAAGCAAGAGAGGAATGGCTGAGGAGTCGACAGGCAGGAGAGGATGGAAATCTCATCGACTTGGCATGAAAAGAGACTCTGAGGGGAACTGAGATGTTTATCAAAGAGGAACTGAAACCTCGAAGGTGTCAGAGTCTCTAGTGTTTGTCTCTACACTAGATCTGCTCAGTCTCACGTTTCCCTTCTATGTTCTTTGATTCATTTGACAGAAAACGAATGTTTCTGATTTGTCTGAGACGACGCCTCAGTGTCCATGAGATTAACTAAGGAACAAACAGAAACATATACAGTGTGAAGATAAGCTCTTCTCACACGTTTGACTTGGAAAAACACGTTACTCAAAACATTAACAATGACTCTGTTCTCAAGTGTCAGCTTTTAACCACAACCAGGATCTGATAGTGAAACATCTAACACGTCACAATTGATGTAATTCATTACATCCATGTTTTATGGGAAAGTTTTAATAAAGTGTGTTATTTTTATTTAAATATCTCAACTAATTGATAGTGGACATACAATCCTATAGCTCCGATATGATGTGAGATGCTGAAAATACAAACACAAACATAACTTTAATTCAAATTCTACTCTGCATCAGGAAATGTTTCTATTAGAATTACACAAAAAACTAGATTGTCACTCTCCCCTTAAAGGTTCAGTGTGTAAGGTTCAGTGACATCTAGTGGTGAAGTTGCATATTGCAGCTGAATACCCCTCACCTCACCCTCCCCTTCCAAACAAGAGAGAGTCCCTGTGGTAGCCTTCAGTTGTCATAGAAACTCAAAAGGTGTTTAGTTTATCCAGTTTGGACGACTGTAAAAAAAACATGGCGGCCTCCATAGAGAGGACCTCCTCCTGATGTAAATATAAAGTATTTAAATTATAAAGGGCACATTGTAGAGTAAAGAATACAATAATTTGTGGTACTTGGATGATACACACTGGTGAAAACATCACTAGGATTACCATCATTTATCAATTATAAGCTGCTGACATATGGCAGTTTACATGTTAATACCCAGCACTATCCTCTAATATGGCCCGGGATACATCTGATTCATACTATTAAAAGAATGTGGCCACAAGGGTCTCAGACCTCCTCTAAATGTGGTCTGAGTGATCTGATCTCCAATGTGTCCTCAATGCCTCTTGGGTGCGTTCACAACTGTAAATTAGAGCTGTCCACATGTGATCAGATCACTCAGGACAGATGCTCATACCAGAGTCTGAACAGGGTCTAAGATACTGATACACAACACAACTTTTATCTCTACTTCTGCTGTTTGAGTATTTATTTTGATTAAAGGCAGAATGAAGCTAAATCCAAGTTCATAAATATAGTCTGGAATATTTTGATCTCACTTAAAAATGCTTTAAATACTTAAAAGAGTAAAAGCTAAGATGTTAATTATTGTGCAGTTGTTCTCAACCTAAGGATTGAGCCCCTCCGAAGGGTCACAAGATAAACATGAGGGGTCATGTTCTCAAGAAATATTACATCATTTTAACTGTTTGGGGCTCAAACAATGTGGGGAAGTAAAAAGTAGAAATGTGTCTTTAATGGAACTGTGAATGACTCATCTGAACTATTACAAGTCGAATATACAAATAGAAAATGCTTGGTTCATCTTGTTTTATAACAGTCAGTATGACAGTGTGACAGTGTGTGTTACTTTGCTCCTCACTGAACTTTGCCAGTGTGAGACGCGATAGAGTCAGTGGAGGAAGGTGACCAGCAGAGGGAGCTGCAGATACACTGTGCTGTCACTATAGTGAGAGTTTAATCCCATCATTGTGATTTATTTAGAAATTATAGACACTCACTTACAGGTATTCATTTGTAGGAATTTATAGACAAAGTCATATGCAAAAGACAAAAATTGTTCTTTTGGAAAATGAAGTGCCTTTAATCAAGTTATCCACTACTTCCCTGTACTCATTGCAACATGTCGGAGTGTCATTTCTCTTAAAGGTTCAGTGTAGATTTTTGTGATATCTAGTGTTGAAATTGCATGTTGCAGCTGAACACCCCTCACCTCACCCTCTCCTTCCAAACATGAAAGAGAAACTGTGGTAGCCTTTAATAATTATAAAAACTCAAAAGGTGTTTAGTTTGTCCAGTCTGGACTAATGTAAAAAACATGGCGGCCTCCGTAGAGAGGGTCCCCTCGATGTAAACATAGCGTTTGAATATAAAGGGACTTTAGGGGGTAAAGAAAACTACAATTCATATAATGTTAATGAAATTAACTAGTGAAAACATCATGAGGATTATTCTACATTAAATTTCTGCCAATAGATCCCTTTCACCTAAATCTTACACACTTGACCTTTAAATCCACTGTGTTAATGAGACAAAGCAACATTCTTAGTGTGTTGTTTTAATACATTGTTTTTTAACTAAGCTGTTTATCCAGCTGTCGTTCCTCTTTCAAGTTCAATCCCACCACTTTGAACAGTAAAAGCTGATAAGTGACTTGAAGATTTACTGTGGGGCCATTGTTGTGACACTTTCCTAAATGGACTCAAATAACAAATCAGGGCAACCTGAGGCCAGCATCAAGCAAACCAGAGGATAACATTACAAGAAGAACTCTGAGGTCCTCCGACATAGGTCAAGTTGAGAGCTTCTCCACATTCCAGACCCTACAGACAGACATACCAATCCTGTAGAAAATGATGGACGGCGGCGGAGCATGGCAGGAGGTTTCACATTACAGCCATGTCCCCTCTTATGTACACACATCTGTACGGAAACACTTCCTCTGCATAGCAGCGTGTTAGGACATCATAAAGAGTGACCATTCTTTTACATGATTGGTATGTCTGGAATTCTGCTCCCAGCTTCACCTATGCAGGAGGACCTCAGACTTGGGATGTATGAAGACACTGAATCTTCAGTGCATTAGGAAACTTTGAAGTAAGTTGTGACTCCTTACTGTGTTCATTACGATAGGACATTCATGTCCCCCAAGACCAAACTGTTAAATTCAATCAGGCTGCATTAAAAAACAAATAATGATTTTGCAGGCTATTTTATTCTATTTTTCATACTTCCACATGTTCTTCTGTTTCCCTCCTTCAAGTAAATAAAGTTTATCTTATCTTATCTTATCATCACAATAAATGTAATATTAAGGAACTATCATTTCTCCTATTTTCTTACTTATTTTTCACTCAAAGCTGATTTCAAAAGCACAGCCATTAACATTCAAGCATTTGATCCATGATTAATCAATTACTGTAATAGGTTTATTTGTAAAGCTCATATTCACACACGACAGGGCTTAACAATCTTTACAGAGTGGGACGTTCTCAGACCTTATCCCTCGACCAGGGTAAGGATCAATGAGAAAAAAATATTTTTATTGGAAAAACGTGAAAAAATATTCTTAAAAATCTAAACCTAAAGGGAAAAATTAAGCTGCATGTGTAGAAATGTATCATTGTGGACATTGTTTTATGCTTAAACTGACAGTGTAAGACATTATTATCAAGTTGGTGAAAATAAGGAGAATGTAACAGAGCAAAATGGCCTCTGATCTCCAAGGATTATGTCAAACCAGAAAAACAGTTGAATCTGTGTTTAAAACTCAAGAATAATATGATGTGTACTTGTATGATTATTATAATCCTTCTATTCTAAACAAGTAAGGTGTTGACCCCCTTAAAATAAAGGGGGTCACTGGTGAATGGTAAACTTTTGCAGTATTAAGGGATTGTCTGTTTTAAAAAAGCTTAATATGGTTTGTTAAAAGTCACGTTCAGTTGTTTTAACTCCACAAATGCTTCCGCACATTCCATCTTAATTATACTGCCGTATGAAAAGTTTTAAAGTCTCAAAGTAGAAGTGAAAATGACGGGTCAAACTTGTGCTGTGACACATGTCACTCTGACAACAAGGTGGTGAACCAAAGGTCAAAGGTCAACAGGGAACTCAAGGGCAGGTCTGACAGCGCTCTCTGGGTGTCCGGAACGAGAAAAACAAATGACCGTCTGATCCGAACGATTGCAGGTGGAGTGGAAACCGGCGAGGAGTGGAGACGTGACTCATCGCTGAGTGGAAACACAAACAGCCACGAGTAGAGAGCAAAAATAAATTCCCCCAATAGATGAGATTAACAAAGTTGTTAGTGAAATGAACACAGATTATCTCCGAGGTAAATTTGGACATAAAACCTGACAAAACAAATGAAGGGAAGCGCTTTGCTGTCGGGGCCTCGGCGCGTTGGCAGACAGTCAAGTTTATTTAGCTATTTTGGTCGCCCTCAGCTGTCCCTTTTATGTTGTCCGGGGAATGTCTGCTGCCATCACTCTGCCCAGTAATCCACATATATTCAAGGGGGGGAGACATTAGGGGCAGACGGTGCGAGAGGGGAGTCCAGGGCAAACAGGTGGGAAAGTGTTCACGACCGAGGGCCGATCAGCAGACACACACCTTTATAGAGGTGAGAAAGCTGGAGTGAAGACAGAGGTTAACGGTGCGTTCACTTGTCTGGCATGTTGTCGGCTGTTAAACGCTAACAACACACAAAGCACACGCCACAAAAAAAACACAGAAACAAGAAGTCAACATTTATATAAGCCACCACCATACTTTACAGTCTCGCACTGGTCGGTTCAGGTTGCGTTCTTGAATAAAAGTCAGTTTTAAAGATTAAAGATTAAACCAGTGATCTGAGCTTGTGTTTTGTCACAAAACAAGCAGTTTCTATTTGGATATTCTACAAGTAGAGCTTCAGATGTCTGATGAGTCGTCTGCACATTGCTCCTTTTAAACTTCTCACATTGTTTCACTTAAATAACTGTTCTAGATGTGTTAAATGATCTCATATTTCATGAGGACACGGCCCCTCAGATATATCTTGTGACCTGTTGGAGGGACCCAATCCATAAGCACCAAATGATATTCTGGTATATGAAAAATAAAATGATTTAACTCATCAGCCTAATAGAGCAATGTGATTTAATATCTCTATTTCAATAATAGTTTTAAATCTAATATGATTATTAATAAGAATAGGAAGACATTAATATCAATAAATGGATAGATAGATAGATAGATAGATAGATAGATAGATAGATAGATAGATAGATAGATAGATAGATAGATAGATAGATACCTCGACCCTGGGGTTGGGAACCACTGGACTGAATTACTCAGTAGGTCATTTTGCAGATAATATCTCTGCACTCTAATGTAAATTTCAAAGCTTTTACCTGTAGTCAGGTGTTTGAATATTGTTGTATTTGTACTTTTACTTGAGTAAAGAACTGGGTTTCTTCTGAGTTTTTCTTTTTGCTTCACAGTTTAAAATGATGACGTATGATGATAATGTGAACAAAGCCACAGACTGTGATGATGGCAAAACAAAAACAATGATGATGATAGTAAATACGTGCAGAAGAAGAGAGAATATAATCTGTAATTCACCATGAGTGAGGACAAGAAAAGGAGAAATGTATAAATAAAAAGTGTCCTTAAGAAATGTGTCCTTAAGAGTCAACAGG